TCTATCTACGCACCGATCACAATAGTTTAGTGTGGTTGACCCGATTCAAACATATTGAGGGTCAACTCGCGCGATGGCTAGAGGAGTTAGCTCAATTTGATATGCACATTCTACATCGACCTGGCAAAGACCACGGGAATGCAGACGGGCTATCTCGAATTCCGGCCCATGAGGAACTCTGTAACTGTTACCAAGCAGGCACGCAGGTTGAAAGTCTTCCTTGTGGGGGATGCTCATACTGCAGACGTGCCCACCAACAGTGGCAGAGATTTGGAGAAGATGTAGATGATGTGATTCCACTAGCCTACCGAGCCATTGCCCCATTGAGTCCTCCCCAGGAGTACTCTCCCATTACCTTAGGATTGGCAGTCCAACCCGTAATTGCCTCACGGTTGCTGAACAGTGACGAGGGGGGGTTAAATGGCCTCTCCGGGGACAACCTGACAGACAATGAGAGCGAACCGGAGTTATCTGCTCCGCCAACTAAGCCAGAGTCAGATGAAGAGGTACCTGGCTGCACCGGCGTTCCAGACGACAATTGGTCGAATGAGGGAGATGGGGCAGATGTTACACCAGACCGTAGTGACTCCTCCTCTGAGGCGGAGAGCGAGGCTGAAGTAAGTAAGGCCTCTGGAAACGGGGATGGAACACCCCCAACAGGAACTGAGAAATCCGGGAAACATCAGGGAAAACTCGTTAACTGGATGGAAGGACTGAGTGGAGAAGGTTTAAGGACGGCACAGCTCCGAGACCCTGACATAGGGCCAGTGATGTTATGGATAGAGAATAACAGCTGTCTGACGGAGGCGGAGCTATTTGGACATGGTCGCGCCGTCAAGGCCTTGTGGTTAATAAGGAATTCGTTAGTTCTACAAAAGGGGGTATTGTATAGACTTTTACAGCCTACTGTGCGCCACAAGCGGCCCCGGGTGGTTCTCCCTGCCAGTCTGCGTGACACGGCATTGAGCTGTGCACATGATAGCGACATCGGAGGTCACCTGGGGGAGAGGAAGACGTTCCTCCGGTTGAGGCAGCATGTCTGGTGGTACACTATGACGCTGGATGCCAAACTTCACATGCAGTCCTGTACTTCCTGCGCTCGGAACAAGAAGCAAAGAAAAGCTAAGTCCGGGCTTAAGTCCTTCCATGCCGGATTCCCTATGGAGAGGGTACACATTGACATTTTGGGACCATTCTCCCCTAGCAAAATGGGCAACAGGTATATCCTGATGATGGTGGATCAGTTCACCAAATGGGTGGAGATGGAAGCTCTCCCGACCCAGTGTGCAGAGGCTGTCGCATACAGTGTGGTTAAGAACATCCTGTCCACTTTTGGGTGCCCCTTACAGATCCATACAGATCAGGGGCCGAATTTCGTAAGCGAATTGTTCACCAGCTTGTGTCGACTACTGGAGATCGCCAAGACTCGTACAACGCCTTATCACCCCTCCTCAAACGGACAAGTGGAACGGTTAAACAGTACGGTGCTACAAATGATACGCTGCTGCATTAAGGGTAAAGATGATACCTGGGATTACTACCTCCCTCTAATCAAGATGGCCTTGCATGCGACAGAACACAGGAGCACCGGATTTACTCCCAACATGATGATGTTGGGAAGGGAAACGTTACAGCCACTAGATCTCCTATTGGGTCTCCCAACTCCCGCAGATAGGGAGCCTCATGAGTGGGTTAGGCATTTAGTTGATTCGCTGGCAGAGGTTCATACTGTTGCCCGGCAACAGGTGGGAAAGGTTCAGCGGAGACAAAAACGGGACTATGACCTTAGGTTGGCGGAAACCATATTCGAAGTAGGGGACGTCGTATACAAAAGGGACACGTCCACGAAGGTAGGAAAAAGCTCAAAGCTGAAGCCCCCCTGGATAGGACCATACCTGATAGCTGGGGTAAAGCACCCAGTTTACAATTTGAGGAATCACAAGGGGTCAAAGCACTGCCATCATGATCGGTTAAAAGCTTATAATGGGCGGTTTCTGCCATTGTGGTTGCGTCGCATGAAACATTCTCTCTCATTGCCCGTACAGGTGCCGGTCGTAGGTGCAAAGAACCGTGAGACGTGCATGCAGGGACCAGAACCCCCGACGGTGGCAGGTTCCCCCGAACCCTTGGTGGGAACGCATGACGAGGGTAGGAAAAGACAGGTCTCTACCTACACTATACCTAGGTTTATAGAGAAGCGCTCTAGGGATAGTAGCAAGGATAGTAAAAATCCCTCAGTATTTCCTGGGACTTGTTAAATGAAGTCACAGGGTGCGGGTGAGGGAGACAGCTTTAATTGAGAGCGGGTCTTCAAAAAAAAAGGGTATTTCTATTTCATCATAGTAGAGGAGGGTTTTCTTTCCTTTACAGAATGGACTACATCCTTAGAGTAGACTACTCCTCTAGTGAGGAGTTCTGGTGTGCCGAGGAGGAGGCGGCTCCTCCTACTTGTTGTGACGGTGTGTGAAATACTCACACCGAATTCACGACAATATTAAATGAAATGCTAAATCTTATCCAAACTTTTTTTATGGACTATTTATATCATTATTGTTGAGATTAGAATTTATTGGAATCTAGCAATATTGAATTTTTTGACTATTTTAAAGGAGCATCACGGTGAAGTAACCTTTTTTGGTCTTTTTTTTCAAATACAACATAAACATATCAAGTGAGACTCCTTATGGAAAATAACGATTGGATTTGGCTGAAATAGATACATAATAAATGATTAAATCTAAGTTAATCATCAGTATTTCTACCTGTCTGACCAACGTTTCGTTCAGGGATTTCCCTCTACTAGCGCATGCGCATAGCACACCATTTCTTTGTAAACAAAATGACTGGCCGTGTGAAGTAAGCGAAAGAAAAGTGTTGTACCGTGTCAGCTACGTAGCGAAAAGTTGTCAAATGGTCAAAAGATAGCGCAAGGAGTACGTTACGGAATCATTATTGCAGTTGGGAAGCATTCAAAGGAGAAAATAACTGCTCTAGCAGTTAGTACGGTATAATTATACAATGGTTTATAATTATACAATGGTTTATGCGAAAAGAAGGGATAAGTGACTGGTTAGTTTGATTTTGCCATGAGGCCCTCCAAGGGATAACTGTTGTGATGGCCACGGCGTATTCTTTTCTCTCCTTTGCGGTTGGTACCCGGGGTCAAATGAGATACGTGCGCTATTAGATTTACATAATTTATAATTATACCGGGTTCAGTAAAATGGTATGATTGAATTAAACTTTTTTTGTTGTTTTTACATGCAAGATTTTAAATTAGGACTAATATGAATACCCGACCTCCTCTGGCGCGACGACGCAATCTATAAAAAAAATGGCTCTTCGTCAGAAAGCTACGTTATCGCAGCTAGATTAAAAATGTCAAAATGACGGACCAGGATGAATAACTGAGGAAGGAGAACCTACTTCTAGTAAATAGGATCGCATAACATTTTTTTTTATCAACAGTTCATGTTTTCATATGATGTTGACTTAGAATATATGATTATGTGGCACCATTTCTCTATAATGAATTAATTTTCGACTTCAGATAGAATCGTAATACGCATTGAAAACAGCGGGGGGGGGGGACTTTATTTACGTTATAAAAATTACGCGTGCTGCCGATAACTACGGCTTCTGTTTCGGACAAAAATGAAATGATTAAAGAAAAGTTGTCTCAACTTAAAAAAGGGTCCATTTACAAGAATGCTTTAATCTATGTAAAGTATTGAAAAAAAAATTATCAAGTATCTCAACACGTTCCATATATGACACATATTCTACATTACGGTTTTGCCATACAGTCTATTGTGTGTGATGGCTAATATGACTTGCAAAGTGTTAGCGTATGGAGACAGTGAAAGTGGAAAAGAGAGTTTACATAAATTTATATGCATGGTCTAGAAAAAGACATGACCGAGGACATTGAATTGTACAATGTAATAAAAATATTCACAAACGTTTCTCTTTTTTTATACGCGTGTAGTTTGTCATTGCATATATGCACTTTATGAAAACATTTCAAAAAGGGATATTCGTCTCGTGAATATTCCGTTTTACAGAAAGGTTTGTCCCATGGTTGAGGGAAGGTGTTTAGCCCCGTACCTTCTGTACCAGTCACATTCCGGTACTAAATTCACTACTTTATGTGTATGCCTATTATCATTGTTGACATTTAATTGTAAATGTATGACGGGAAAAGGCTGTGATAAATTGTAAGAACTTGTGCCCCATCCCTTGTTCAATTTTATTGGTAAAAAGTATGTTTAAAGCTGAATAAATTTCAATTCTGAATATTGGCAAGCGTGCAATTAACTTCTGATGATGAATAATTACTGTTCAATAAGTTTGAATACGGACTTAGAAATCATATTACTTGGTTTGATAGTACGGTAAGAAGTTGCAGTTGCCTAACGGCCTCTCTCTGGGGGCCTCTTTGGAAACCGTTTCATCTCGCTCAGACCACTTGTGTTTACTGCCTAGTCAGGTGACGTTATCGGTGCTATTTTTAGCAGGGCTTTCCCGAACAGTTCATGTTGGCAAACTGGACATTTGGAACGGACTATGAATATGGGGATAGCAAGGTAACATAAGTGGAAGTGCATACAATACATACATTCATTAAAAAAATATGGCTCTTCACGTGCTGTCCCTTTAACGCGGTATAAAAAAATATATACTGAAATGATCTCCTATTTCTTTCTCATCCTTTTGGAGCATCTGACCTTTTTCTTTTGTAATTTTCAATGGTGTCTGTGTAGTATATTTCTATTCGAATTACACTTTTGTTTGCAAGTTTTTAATTTGATTATGTCATGGGACAAAGCTCGAAAACATGCACAATAGCTGTATTCATTTTGTTTGCTTCTATAACTGAATAACCTTTTTTGTGCATTTCGTTTTTGTATGGAAACATATTGGATTATCAGTGTCACTGGTCAATATTCTCTTAAACGATTTTATATGCGTTCATTTCTAGATCATATGGAATGTCTTACCCCATCCAATTAGAAGAAACCACTTCAATTTAGACTTTGTGTGGAAGACATATGTCACAGATATGAACATCTCTATACCCTCGGCCAGCATCAGACAAAACGTCACAAGAAAGAAATAATGGAGAAGTGCCGCTATGGTGGTGCAGAGGATCTGTTTATGAAAAAAGTATTTATACATGAAAATGAATATGTCCATGGCCGCACATTTCATTTGCAATTTTAACATTTATCAATCAAGCATTATCTATATTTGTGTATATATATATAAGTGGCGACTGCAAAACGTTTTATTAAGTTGAACGCAATGTCTAAGACGACATTACTTTGCCAAACAATAGGTCATTGATGTTGTTATATTTTTTCCCTCCATTTAATGACTTTAGCTATATGTATTGTTACTGAAATTTTACAATTTTATAATAAAATATAATAATAATTTGAGATAGAACCAAGTATAAAGTGAAAGAAGTTGTTGTATTTTTTAACTTAACTTGCAATTAAAACGTTTTAGCATCATTATAGTTTAGATGTAATTGCGGTAATATTATTACATTCAAGTCAACACAAGCGGCTATCTCCATTACGAGACAACTTTTGAAGTAGCTGCATCGTTAATAGCGCTTGTATTAAGATACCACTTACATAGCCAGTTTGTTTGTTCGACTTTCCTAGGGGGTCTCTGAGTACACATTTGACTGTATATAATGTAAATCGTTCATACAGATATGAAGATTATTTCTTTTCTGAAAACATGTACAATAATGAGACCGAGACAACTTCTAATATTCAGTTCACTAAACGAGATTTCTAGATATAGAAGTTATATGTATAAGCACTTACATCGTCGTGAGTACTGTTTATACCTCCAAGAAACAGCAGATAGGCAATTGTCAGGGCCGCGCACAAATTCATAAGCAGACGATTTCTGTCACTTTTTACATATCTGTATCCAACATTTGATTAAAAAGGTAAATTAGATTGCTGAAAATAATTGCATAGTTTTGTTTTAAAAGGGTCATCATTGACTTTTTTTAAATAAATACCCAATGAATTGTTTAAAAAAGTACTAATGCATATATTTTTATGTCCAGGTAAAATTTAACGGTGGTAAATATTCTGTGTAAATTATTTCAGCTGGCGTATGTTAAAGATTTTTTTCTAAAAATATGTGAAATGATATGAATCTAAGCTGGCACATTTTATTCAAAATATGATCATTTGGGGAGAAAAACATGATCTTGTCGCCATATTTGTGACGTCACAATGTTGTGAAATTACTCCTGGTTCATATCAAACATGCATGTGATGGTGTAAAAATACACTGACCGATAAGCTTCGGTATTGGAGCTAACACCTTATGTCCAAATCAATGTATTTGATACGTTGATAAACGACAGTGTTAATAAGAAGAGACCGCTGGATCATAATTGCGCTGACACCAGCTTATCGACAGTTTATAAAAGAAACATCAGATAAGTTTACCTCCATAATTTGAAATACACAGCCATGGTGACGAGTGTAGATAAAGTCGACATTATACACCCAATGAAGCTTATTATTCGGAGAACATACGCATCAGCAGGCTGAAAATAAAATAAGTAAATAAAATTAGTTAAAAGATAAAGCGGTTATCCTTCTAGTAATATATATACTACAATACACGAAAGAAAGAGTAAAGCTTTAGTTGGAATGATTGTATTCTGTAAATGTTAGGCGTGTAATGATTGTATTCTGTAAATGGAATGCGTCAGGGTCGTTTATTTTTACTTGGTTTATACTAACAACATCATGAAAGAAAGGACTAGGATAACAAATAACATTAACTAACTTACTCTTTTTCATTCTTACATTTCTCTTTAAAAAAACGCTTAATTACTTATATATGTAAGCGCCTGTAGGGTGACCCGTAGCTAATAAACATATGCAACTATGATTTCAGGAATTTCTGTAAGGTTAATATATCTATACAAATGCCAATTCTATTTTTTTATCACTTCAGGCTGACGGAATTTTAAATTGTTTGAATTAGAAAAAAACAGCAAAAATTATTTTCGCTATTAATTTTCTCAAAAGATTTATTTTAATGTGTTTCGTAAATGTCATTTGCACATTAGAATTTAAGCTTTCCTGGGATAAAACGATTGCGACTTATGTATTCTGTGTAGTTGAAGACTATTGAAAGAAGATTTGCAATCATCCTTTTGCTGCATTCTTAATCATAAAATGGACGAATCATTTTATGAAGATAAAAAGAAATATACAAATTCTTTAATTTTTTGTGTATTCATTTTAATTTTGTAAATGTATTGTGTTCTTTAATTTTCTTTGTGCCATTCTGAATATAAATACGAAATAAAACAACTGTAAATTATTTACAACCGAACAAAACAATGTTATGCGAAATAGTTCATTACTGAATTTCACATTAAAATTTGAACCATTTTTATCGCAAAATTGGGTACAATATCTATAAACTCTCCCCCCGCTGTGTAGAATTCTTTGGGGGAAAAAAATGAAAAATAGTGTCCATTGTCGAATTGTGATTTTTTATTGTGTTTCGCAATCAAAGAATATAATTTCGATAATAATAACTTACCGAAAAGGGTGTGTCTACAGGAATCATCAATACAGCGAAGTTTGTAAGGTGGTAGCATGTACAAGCGTTTCCAGTCCAATTACAACCGTCTGGCAACCAGCTGGTGAAGAGTAAAATGTATTGTTTAGAGTACTTTGTTCTATAGTTGTATAAATAAAATACCCTCTTGGTAATTGGTTTAAAACAGATGGTAAGGTCTGCCATTAGTTTTTGGAAATAATCATTAGTGCTTTTTATCACATTAAACTTGCTAAATCATGTTTAGATAATGCAGAGATATGAAAAGTGCCAGTTGTCTGCCATGTTCAGCTGGTACAATTGCAAAGTGCATATTACATTTATTTATTGACAAATTGTACTCTTAAATAGTTTGAACTTTTTTCTGACTATTCTTTTTCTTCTGATTATTGATTCATTTTCCATAAATTGTCTATAAACTTAAGGATGATACAGAATACTAACAATGTATACCCATCGTGTGTAGAATGCAGACTTCGTCCGTCAATACCTATAATATATATAGCTTGTGATTTACGTATCGAGCTAATCGTCCTTGAAATTGACCTATCTCAAAAGGTCATCTGTTATGCGAAACAATTTTTATGCATTGCTTGTTCGCATATTTTTTCACAAGTAGAATATTTTTGACGAATATTATCTTTCTATTGTATTTACTTTCTTATCATATTTTAAATATATAACATAATGTCCTTCAAACCTATTGAACGTCAGAAAGGCTATCACGATACAGTAATCAACCGACTGGTCAGGAAACACACCCAAACAAACTCAGTGAAAGATTTGCCAAGATCCGGCATACCGCCTGTCGCGACGAAGCGTGAAGTCAGTGCGCTGCATCGTTTGGTAAGACGGATGCATTTGCGAAAAGTCCCCTGTTCATAAACGCCAATGGCTTCCCTATAGATGTATTTCAGTAAGAACAGTGAGGAACCGTTTGAAGTCAGTCGGATTGAAGTCAAGAAGGGTGGTTTAACGTAAGCAATCCGACATCGACGATAACGTTTGGCGTGGTGTTTAGCGCGACGTGAATGGAATTTGAAGCCTTTCGAACGATCCATTGGTCAGACGTGCTTCACTCTTTCTTTGTTTATAAATATATGATGTATAGTAGAACTCTTACCTGGAGTTTTCGAAGTCCCAGTACACACATTCAAAAGATCCGTTCTAAAATACAGAAATTATGTTGAAAAATAAAGCCTACAATTGTGGCTAAACGTGACAAAGCGGACAAGCATCGTTTGATTTTCCTAATTAGTGCTCTGCCGCTTTTCGTGTTTCGTATTTAGGCAAAAAACAAAGACACACGTTTTGTATTTACAAAAAGGCGGTTTGCTACCTAGACAAAATCAAAAACCGCATTTTTGCCGCGATCACGCATAAGTGGCCCTCATTACTTTATCCATTAGCTTCGTAAAAAAATCATGAAAGAAACGAAGAAAGGAAGAACGTAGACTTATCGATGGTAATAAAGGCCTAAATAATTAAATCCATGTATACAAAATTCATAGACGTGTGAAAAAATTCAGGTAAAGTAATTTAAACTTTTACCATATAACTTTTCAACTAGCAATTGATGTAAATTGTACTAGAATGGATTTCAGTGGAACGTTGAAACTGAAACCTCCTCTCCTTATTATAGCAGTAAAGTTATTATCGATTTTCGATGTTCTTTTTTCAATTTTATTTTTCAAATCTTCGTTTTCATAACATATTTGAAATATAGAGCTTTCATAAATCTTGCCTGCTTACTGAATAACAAATGAACTAGGAGAAACAAACAGGCAGAAATAAGAAATAGAACCGTGAACACATGCCGTAGAAGGGAGCACGAAACCTTACCAAAATAGAATGAAATCGAAAAATTGGGAGGTGATCAATATTTACACCAAAAATATATATAAACCCTAGTGGAAACATGTGATGCATATTTTAAAAACAGTAAAGCAACATTATTATTTTAGTTGACACGCCCAGCGGTGTCCCCAAACATCTTCCTTTCTTTAAAGTGAAATTCTTCCATCATAAATTAATATAGTTCAGTATAGTAATGGAGCGATTTATCTAACCTCATTTGTGTTAAACGTCAATTCCACAGGGTTTGTTAGCGTAATGTTTTTTTGTCCATTAAGAGATAGTGACAGAACCTCCGAGACATTGCCTCCACTGCAAAAAAAGGAAATATGGCACAGGACTTATGAGTATCATTTAGTCAAACAGACTTTTTTATATTGTTACAATATAACTAATGTTGGTTGGCTGGCATAACAATGTTGGCAAAAGTACACAAAATATTGTAGTTGACCTTTACGGAATTATTGTACTATGGATGTTAAAAGACATGATTAGCATTAAAATATTTTCTACCACTAAAACCGAGGAATCTATATACAAAATAATTTTGTATTTCTAAACATTTTCTTCGGGTTTGTAAGTTACACAACCTTACAAACTTACAAGTGTATGTACAATTGATGCTTCGCTTACAGCGTAGCCGAATCGACGTCCATTTGTTGACAACTCGTACACATTTTACACCTTTGTGTGCATACGCTTCACTGGTCATTCGTCTGATGAAGGTGTACCGTACTAGTCATCGAAACGTCACATAGAAACACTAATTGGTTGTGTAACAAGAAACTTTTCATGATATATACATATTTATGTTTATCCGCCCGAGAGAGTATATTTTAGATGTATATAAAGCATTAAGTGCCTCGCTCAGATATGGTAAGTAACAACTACAGTAGAATTAACAGTCAGTCTACAAATAAACATTACTCTGCAAACAAAGAAATATATATTGTTTTATTTATTTTTTACACACTATAGGAGATACTTGCAATATTTGCAATTACAGACTATTCACTTATACATAAAACTATGAGGAAATACAGTACCTCTCAGGTAGAGCGTCTGCTATAGTTCTATACACTGCCGCTGTGAATGTTAGGTTTGCTAAAAAAATAATGACACCACAAGTTTAACAGTTCTTTGCTTAATCGTTCTCATATTTTATAAAAATAATGATATATTTTTTGTGAATAAGTTACGAATTGGGCTAATGAAAAAAAGCAATTTTCAAAGAAGGGTTTTGGGATGTTTAATTTTATTCTTGGTATGGGATTTTTTACTTAAGCTATCAGCAATTTGTACTAAATTTCCATCGAGTTACAAAAAGACATTCGTAAACTATGTTGATTCCAACAAAGTTTGCAAAAATATAATTTTCATATCCCGATAAAAAAAATAACCTTTTGCCAATGCAAATAATCAACTTTAATAAAAAGCTGTGAGGAGAAGTCCGAATAATCAGAAAAAACAAAACATTTAAACTGCTTTCCTTTCGACCAAAACAATTGGACAACTCTTCTATTTACAATGTTAAATATTGTTTTTACTTATTCATTTGAATTAATAAATAAAAGTTGGACTGAATATGAAATTATTTACGCTATTGACTACAAATTATCATATACAACTGCTTTTGATAATAAAAGTTTTGTGCGCAATACAAATATGTTTCCGGGTATGGTTACTGGTTCATGGCATTATGAAGATAAAGACACCGACAAATTGCATTTGAACATTTGGGTTTTGATAAAGCGATGTGAACACCTTTGAACTAATAACACAAATGTACTCACTTGTATTAAAATCATTTAGTTCAATGTGTAGTTGCCCTTCCTCACTGGAGGAACCATTAGCTGTAAAATTTATTGCGTTTTCCTCCGCTCTCCCAATTTCAATAACTGTAACATAAATATATATAAAATAAACACAATTTCTCACTAAGCTGATGTCTTATTACTATAGTTAGCATATCAATCTCAACGATAGACCACTTTGTCTATTATATCTAATGTAATTGTTATAAAAATAATCTAAATGGTTAAAGCATTATCTACCAATAATAGCTAAACAAATGTTCTTTTAAATGTGTCTGTACCAACCATATAAAAGGTTACTTACCAATATTTTTCATTTTATCAAATCTGAAATAAGCAGTATTGTCGTTTAAAGTGTTGGCTACAACTTCTCCGAAATTTTCAACGGTCCTCATAAGCTCAGTGACACCGGTTTGACCTTTTCTTTCCTACAACAAAAGATAAGGCCAATTGATACCTGTTTCCCCGTTTCTAGATATATACTTTCAATTAACAAAATCTTCAAAATCAATAATATGATATGCTGTTTTCCTGCCTTCATAATCAATTTCACTTACATCAGTTTCAACTTCTTGCCACGTGCCGCTGTTATTTGTGGATAGAATTTGATCCAGGACACCGAAAAAATTCTGTTAAACATCAAAAACAAAAATAATAATAAATAGAATGATGATTGTCATCGTATGCGTTGGCTCAGTATGATTGTATATATTCAAATTCATCAAATAAAACTCTTGTTAATAATATCATCATATATGAAAGGTTAATGAGTTAAAAAAAACATGTTTCTGTTTATGATCATATTTAAATTAATTCCTTACCAAATTAAAAGAACCCTGTTTTGTATAGTTAAAACCATATCAAATAAAATATCTTTTCTAGAGCATACCTCTGCGGTGTTTTCCGTTACATCAGCATTGCTATTAGTGAAAAGCTCAGAAATTCTTTTCAATATTTTACTCGTTTGTTTGAGTTCGCCAGAAGTCAGGTTTGGACCAGATTCACCGGAGGTGACAACAGTGATCTGGTCAACAGCGTAATCAACAACAGACCCGAGATCGTCCTCTGAGATGTACAAATCGAGCTGAAAAGAAATCAGCATTTAAGCCAAAGTTACAAATAAATTATTGGCAAGGGTTGTTAACTTTTCCGGGAAAAATTACTGATTACCGCAGTAACGGTAATCAAATTAATTGAAGCTTTTATTGGAGTTTGATGTTCGATATCCTAAGGTCACAAGAGTTGTGTGTCTTGATGACTCTCAATTTAAACAGAATTCTTTGAATTTCTTTGAATAGCAACTTCAAGATGCGTTGCACTTGGTAAGTGAGCGCAGAAACTGCTCTTAGATTCCTTTTTCACCGTTGTTGACGTCATACTATTGGTCTACGACCACTATTTCAGTTTGCAACAACTTTATCATGGGCTTCCAGAATACCTAGTAGGGACATTATATATAGGTCTGCTTAGCGTGGACATGTGTAGTGTTTCTTTTCTGAATTGGACAGTTAGTATAATGTTCGGACATATATCACATGTTGAGAAATGGAAGTATAATTACCAAAGACATATTATGCCTGCGTATAATTTGAATCAAAGTTAAATCATTCCCAATATATTGGCAACTGACTGTGGACAGTTGGGTTAAGATTCTGAATTGCTAAATCATTTACATGGATCGTTCATGATTATACCGTGTTCATGACTTCGAATTTCATTTCTTTGTCACGTGTTTGCTGTTGAAATGAACGTGGAGGAATTCTGGCAAGTTGGCAACATGACATGTTTTAATAAGCAAATACCCTATTTAAAAATGGTACATGTAGCATAGGTAGGTCTGCTTGGTTTTCCTAAGGGACATAGTTACATACTTCAGTGGTAATGTAATAATAAGGGGATATAACTCTGGCAAGAGATGGATAGATCCAAGGAAGTTATATGTTGGCCTGGACGGAATCCCCATGTGGCCATCATATTTGTTAATACTGCTTAGAGCATAGGGTGCTTTGCACAAGGGTTGTGTTCGCCTGGTTCCCGGAGAACGCTCCTATCTTGTTGCTCTTTTGTCCGGTCATCATACTGGTTGGCATACAGCTGGATATGTCAGTCTTTGCCAGGGTTCAAGATATGTTATTAATATATGTTATCGCCATTTACTTTCGTGTTGTTGTTTTTTGATAAATTTGTTGTCTTCTATCCCATAACTGTTTTGGAGTTGTAATCATTGAAAATTCAACCGAAATATTAAATCAAACAGATATGCTAAACGATACATGTTATTGCCATCTAGGTGTTGTGGGGTTTTGAATAAATCTGTGGTCTCCAATCCAAACTCTTGGAGTTGTTTGTTTTTGAACAATAGTCTTGAGATAATTGAAATTGCAGCCGAAATATTCAACCAATCAGATATTACTCAACAGAATGTGCATCTAACAAATATCAACATTTTTCATACTCCAACACAACTTTCATCGATAAAAAAAACAAAAGACAAACAACATCATATCGATATTGTAAGAGGTTAGCAGAGAATGTGTACAAAATCAAAAAACACTCATAGTCAAAAGATGTTTTTGCTTTTATGCACGTGCTATATTTACGGTCAACAATCAAACTTGAATTTATATTTAAGGCGTTTGTGTCAAAACAAAGAAACATATAAAAGAATTATCTCCTTAGTATAGATATTATTTCAAAAAATAATTATCAATTCCTTAGATTTTTGTGTTAGAAATTACAACATAAAAAGAATTTGCGTTCCTTAATCATACAACAAAAACTGATCGACGAAAATTTGAACGAAGTATGTACTGTGTATGTCTGTGTATTGCTTCGAGTTGGAATAAAATTTGGTCAGTGTTAGAACCTAAATTATAAAACAGATAATTTTGGATAGAAAATAAATTAAGATAAATTAAGACTAATTAAAATGAAGTTCACAATCGCCTCCATCAGTTTCAGTTGTTTTTTAGTGAGTGTTCACTATGACGTGAAACCTACTCCCGTTGCAGTCTCATCATAAGTGTGTGTTACGAGCATTGAGACGGGCACCCTACAAGCTATTGCTCCTGGCAAACATTATAGAAACAAACCCCGAAAGTGTAGTAGCTTTACCAATAAAGCAATCCTCTATTCACAAATGACTTTAATAATATCTTTAATAATATCAGAATAATAAGGTTTTCAACGTAATATATGCATACAAAATTGTTATACATACATCTTTCAGTACTCTGTTAAATTCTTCTCTGGTACAGTTATTCATATCAGGGTCGTCCCATTCACCGGGAAGATTACAATAACGTTTGACGTTACCTGCGACAGGGGAAATCGATATAACTTATTGCTATCGTTAATCATTTTTACGGACGAACATTTCGGCTAAGCGTAATTTTCTGCCTTATTCCTGGAATGAAAAATATATATACGAACACATCAATATTTCCAAATCATACTGATATTATTGGGATTTATAGCATAGCTTAGTCATGTTTACTTACTCCTTACCATGCAGATGTAACTCAGATGTGTTTCATATATGCAGAAAACTAACCAGGATAGCAGGGGAAAACAAAACTTTATAGCAGTAATATCTTAGCCTTTCCTGGCTGAAGGAAATATCTTTCATGAATTCTTTGGACACTAGCTACAATATATTTTTACATATTCTGCAAATCATCGCGATTTAAGTACGTCACTCGTAAACAACTTGAATTTTAATACTTTAAATAATTTGCCGCGGTACTCCTAGTCATGTAGATTTAACCCAGGTATGCATGGCGATTGTCATCGATGAAAAAGATAAGCAGACCATATACTTCTGGTTTCTGGAGCAACTTTTCTTATACTCTTAGTACTTTTCAATGTTAATACTACCTTCTATTTAATGTGTCATTATACATAATGATATTTGTCCACAATTTGTGGTTTCAAATCATACATTACCTGTGTAAGGATCTTGACATGGTCTAATGGCTGTGAAGTTACTTGGGGTGGCATCCCAGTTTATATCTTCATCACATGATTTTGAATCTTTGATGACAAATAAGAGATCTTGTAAAACTGTGGCATCTTACTTGATTACTAGTCATGAAAACCTGTTATTGAGTACATTGTTCAAAAATAGTCACTGACTAGAGTAAATGAAGTTAGAAAAATGTTGTAAATTTCTTGTTTTGTCAATCAAGCACATAACTTAAAACGCAATATCCATTTAAACGGTATTTACTCTTGTTCAAGTGTTTTTCAATGTTCAATACGGTTATTGTTCAAATCAGTCGTTTGTTGGGTGTAAGAGTCGTCTTGTAAAAGTGAAAAAGTCATGATTTTTGCTGAGTGCGTGGACACTGCGAGTGTGTATGGACGTCGCCATTTTGTGAACCCCTGTGACTTCTTGAACTGTGTTACTTCAGTGTTTATTCCGATGTGCATTGGAAGAATTCTAAACTTGTTGGAAATAGTGGATGCGTTGGAAATATGGGATTTGTTGGAAATAGGGGATGCGTTGGAAATATGGGATTTGTTGGAAATATGGGATTTGTTGGAAATATTGGATGCGTTGGAAGTATCGGATTGCAAGTCACAGAGTGAATAACGGTACGAAAGAGTCGTAGATGTGAACAATATGAAATATATGTGTAAATGTTGATTTGATAAGTAAATAATGTTATTCATTATGATTAAATATATATGGACTATGATCTGAATATAGAGGTAGATATAGGTCTGCGTTCAGAATAAACTAAGTTAAACTAAGTTAACTAAGTTAATTTTAAATGCAAGTGCCAAAGAAGAACGCCGGGTTTATTTGGGTTCAACGGGTACTACGTTGCGAGCAACGGATGTGGCATCGTTACCCCTTAGGAATCCGCTTACCCCGTTGATGTCATCGTCTTACATGTGGCGTAGAGATTATTTGGGGCATAGAGAAATGAGTTACCGTTTGATGTTGATCTCGTAAGGCTGGTTTTGAGCTGTTGGCCACTACTACACTTTTGGATCGTTCCAAAACCGTATAGTTGAAGTATGCTTGATTTATAGGATAAGGAAAGCAACTCGTAGGGTAGGAAATGAGGATGGACGGGGGATTTTTATAATGTTTACATTTGTTTGAGGTACCTTTGGTGGTACTTTTGGTGCATCAGACAGATGAATTTGACTTTAATCATATTTGGAGGCCTAGTGATCAGAATATTCCTAGATCTATATCTGATTCATTTGCTGCTCCTGCTATATTTCATACAATTGGTATTTTATATTTTTCATTATACATACATTGGCACTTGGTTCATTTCTGTTAATTTCAAAACTACAGTAACTGTTGCAACAGGGATAAATAGACCTGTGTTGTCCCATATACCAGATAGTTCTGGCATCCTGGGTTCAAACATATGTCTACCTTCAGGAACATGGAAAATGTAGAAAACAATATGTTCTGATAACACGCAAAAAAACCCTCATTTTATAAACATTTATTTATTTATTTTATTTATTGATCTTTTTTGTTAAAACTATTAGTGTATCACCCAATTAAGACATAATGCGTTCTATAGGATATTTGTTTGACATGTATAACTTAACAGCTGTATGCGTGAACATTACAGATCAATATTATACCTGCATTAAACACGTGGATTTCACTTCTATGGGTTTTCGGACATGAGGTATTCAATCCAACGTCACAGCTGTATGTCCCATTGTGATCGTGATCAATTTTAGGAATTCTCAACACCGAAAGGCTCTGAGAACTGTTGTCTACGTTTGCTGTATGAAAATAGAAAAAAAACAATAGTATAAACAGTTCACTATTAAGAAAATCCCCTTATGAATCACTGAAACAACCAAAATGACCAGGGTTTTGTTCCACGTTGTTAAATGACTTTATCATATGTTTCTTAACTTTTATTTAATTAACAAATTATATTTTCCATTTTATTTTTCTATTTCAGCAGATCCGTACATCAAATAAAAGAGTTGAAACGATTACTCTCCATCCCATACGAGTTTTATTCATGTAATGGCAATCTCTAGCTAACATTGCCAGTGGTAAAACCAGAGATATATAGAGGTTCCAAAACGAGTGATGGTTGGTTAACATGTTTACCTAACTCGAGTCAGTTAATCTTCAAATTGTATTTAGACATGAGGTTTGTAGAGTGTCTTTTACAACTTAAAATTAATAAACGAGAGTTAGATAAACGTGACCACTAACCATACCGGTCGTATTTTATCTGAAAAGCTACATTTTTCCCTTGGAAAATATATCATGTGTGTTTCAGATGGTGAAATGATCTCATGTAGCATGACGTCACAATGGAACATGGATTGTTACGTGACGTCATAAATAAAAAATTGACCTATGAAATCACGTGCAGGGTGTTGCCTACTAGTTGGTTAACAAACCAAAACTCCTAGCAGGTTTATACAATGAGTCATAAGTGAGGAAACCTACAGTGGTTGTTGGAGAAATATATGTTCTTGATCACCCTGTCTGGTTCATAAAATCTATTATCAGATTGAATATTCAGTACACACTTACCTGTCAAAATGTTGTTACCATGACACCAAGAAAATGACATTCCACTTTGGTTTATTTTTTCGTAATTTGTTATATTACAGGTTATGTTAACGCTCCCATTAATTGGAAATGCAGCTTTTACTGGTGATATAGTTATCACTGGTAGTTCTACTGTGATGTTGAGGAGCGTCCATGCTAATTTGCCATTGATTTCGCATGTCAAATTTCCTGAAAATATAAATAATCTTCAACCAACGTGATTACAAAGTAAATGCGCTAACAAAAGTATGCATTGATATAGAGGTGACCTTGTAACGAGTAAAAACCATAATCATTCTATATTATTTGTTGCGATTATTATTCAAATAAGCCAAATAAACATTTACTACTTAATGACATGCTACGTCCATTGTAATAACTATTTATCAATAAACACAAGATATCATTCCGGCATTCAACTAATGGATTGCGTACGTTTTCCCAAAGAAAATGTAGATTCTTTTTTCAAACATGTATCTAAAATTTAAAAAATCATATGTTTCCTGTTTTTCCTCTCGTGTTACGTTTCTTACCTGTTTCTGATTTTTGTAGACTTTGTATTGTTAGATTTGACGTGAGATAACCGTTTTGTTCCGAATGCATGATCTCGTTTGAGGAATCATTTTCTAAGGTCCTTCTTTTAAGTTTCCATGTTATGGTTTCGTTTTGACATTTGCTATTTGTATAAAATTCGCAACTGAAACTGGCAATTTCGTTTTCTTTTAATTCTGAAGGAGACTGAGCCATGTTGGAGGAGTTGTATATAGCACACCCTGTATAAAAAATAAATATGAAAACTAACATGAGGACATTTCATTGCGACACATATTATTTCATAAAACTTGTCGCGAATTAATTATTCAACAAATGATAATAAATAATAATATAAAACACTTGATATAGCGCCCTATCCAACTAGAATAAGCCACTCTAAAGCGCTTTACAGTACATAGATACACAATTTATACAATTAGCATATACATTTATCAATCATATTTGAGGAATTCGCAGGAGCTGCTTTATCATGCGCTAACTACCAGTCCTATGCCACCTGGCTAATATCTCCCTATGTGTGTATGCCTGCGTGTGTGCTGGAGACGTAATGTGTTTGTAGTGGGACCGTGCTTCCAACGGCATCATTTATAGTACCACCTCACTTGAATGCTATAGCACAGATACAGCAACATCCCACCAAGACCAATTTATACTACATCCGGGCTGTTGGAGTTGTGTGTGCAGGAGAAAAACACTTTCTCTGAATATGCGTACGGCGACTTCGGGGTTCGAACCCTGGCCGCCTGCGTGGAAAGCGGTAGTGTTAACCACTCGACCAATCCGCCCATAAAATTACTCACCTTTGTTACAATATACCCCAATCCCCAATGATTGTTCTGAGGTCAATCGTTAATGCAATACTTCATATTTAGACGTTTAGGAAATAACTTGTAAACTATCATCGTATGTCCGTTTCATATGTAACCTATACATGGCAGTTTTAGATAAACATTTGAAATAAAGAGCATGCAAAACGTATAAACATCATCATGCTCATGGAATACAATGAAGAAAATACATGGTTCCATTGGCAGAAATTGTTTAAGATATAATGTACATTATGTGTGTATTATGCTTAAATATATAACGAAAATTAGAAATATTTCACCAAAATGTACAACCTGTTTTATCCATTCTACAAAGTCAAAATGGAACGTGCTTCCATTTCTATCTCAGCCCTAATAAGGCAACATTACCTGAGAAAACCAATAAATTCAATTAAATTTGTTATTTTCTGTGTGCAAATTTTGGCATGCTATGTCTCGTTTTCATTTAACCATAACGTGCGCTCTTGATTCTATGTATTTGTTATACGGCGAGGATTTCGTATCAACGATGTACGCCTATGACTTACTAGACACAACAAAAGTATATACACGCAAGTTAAATGAGTCGTTTCATCATCGAGGTGGTAGGATAACAGAATATACATAAAACTAATTACAATAAGTATTATTCTTCAAGATAAACACAGGGAAATAGTATTACATAATATGAAAGGAATTGCATACCCTGTTGTAGAGCTGTGAACTGCTATACTGACGTTTTATAATAGACGTTTTGTAATTCGGCCATGGGGGAAATGGGGGATTTTATCAATGCCTTTTATTAGATTATAATAATTTTTGAAAAAAAGTAATTGAACAGAATGAACGAATAAATAAATCAATTAATTAATTAACGCATGAATGAATGAATTACACATCGATATATCACATATTTAATCTTAAGAATGAATGAATGAATGAATGAATGACATATCGAAATATCATCATAATATACGTTTTATAAAATAGTGTTATATTATTTCAAATAACAGAATATTGTAAAATATTTTTGACAATTTCTATAAAACAAAATTACTCATATTAATCATATGTAAATTTATATATAAAAAAAACAAGCGAACGAACGAATTATTGAATAACAAATGAGTATTTAAGTAACAAGATTAATAATTAAACCAATTATTGAATAAAGTCATCATAGTGAGGTCGCTTATAGAAGATCTAAATTATCTTCATATTCAGAAATAATATAAACGTACAAAACACCAACCTCGCTTGCACTAGTCAACACTTATTGCAGATAAAGGTGACCGAAGCGATAAACTTTTAGAGTTTTAGAGTTTATGGGCAACCTTCAATAATAATCAATAAAAGAGGTAATCGAGAAAATGTATTGTACTAAAATAGGGCCCATATATAAGCCAAATAACCAAGCAACTACGTTTTTAAGGGCTCGTGCTCACTTAAAATAACTCACTATCATCATAAAACCCTTGTTGTGACCAGATTTATGGCGTGGCTTTATGTCAATAGCTTAAACCATACTACGCATAATCGTGGGACACCCACTAGTGACACGCCAGTGTAACGCCTTAAATGTGGTACTACATATTGCGTGCCAAACATACTTTTCACACTGCACTATACAGCTACTTTGTCAAGGTCAAATTGCTGATACGTGGGGCCCAAAGGTGTGAATCCAAATTGCTTTTTAATGGTATTAACTGAATTACTGAAACTTTACGCATGTGCAACTTATCTTCGTCCTCTCGGTATCAAATAATTTCTCTTGATGTCAAGCAAAATTGTATTTATACCTTTCAATGTCAAAATAACTATACAATTGTTAACTATTAGCTTATAAAATACTTCTATAAGTATAGATACTTAAAAGGGATTTTGCTGTATATAAATTCAACAATAAGTCATGTAAGACAAACGTGCAATTTTGTTTTTAATGACTGAACAAACAAACCAGATCGTAAACAAAACGATTCATTAGATAAAGTAATACCTGGATATTCAGTGGTTGTGGTTAAATCAGTGGTTGTAGAATCAGTTGTGGTGAAATCAGTTGTTGTAGAATCAGTGGTTGTAGAATCAGTTGGTGTAGAATCAGGTGTGGTAGAATCATGTGTGGTAGTATCAGTTGGTGTATCAGGTGTGGTAGAATCAGTTAGTGTAGAATCAGTTGGTGCAGAATCAGTGGTTGTAGAATCAGGTGTGGTAGAATTAGTTGGTGTAGAATCAGTTGGTGTAGAATCAGTGGTTGTAGAATCAGTGTTTGTAGAATCAGTTGGTGTAGAACCAGTAGTTGAAGAAACAGTGGTTGTAGAACCAGTGGTTGTAGAATCGGTTGTTGTAGAATCAGTGGTTGTAGAATCAGTTGGTGTAGAATCAGTTGGGGTAGAATCAGTTGATGTAGAATCAGTTGGTGTAGAATCAGTTGGTGTAGAATCAGTTGGTGCAGAATCAGTGGTTGTAGAATCAGGTGTGGTAGAATCAGTTGGTGTAGAATCAGGTGTTGTAGAATCAGTGGTTGTAGAATCAGTTGTTGTAGAACCAGTGGTTGTAGAATCGGTTGGTGTAAAATCAGTAGTTGTAAAATCCGTTGGGGTAGAATCAGTGGTTGTAGAATCAGTTGGTGTAGAACCAGTTGGTGTAGAATCAGGTGTGGTAGAATCAGTAGTTATAGCACCCGTTGGTGTAGAATCAGTGGTTGTAGAATCAGTTGGTGTAGAATCAGTTGGTGCAGAATCAGGTGTGGTAGAATAAATAGTTGTAGAATCAGTGGTTGTAGAATCAGTGGTTGTAGAACCAGTTGGTGTAGAATCAGTTGTTGTGGTATCAGTTGGTGTAGAATCAGTAAGTGTGGATTCAGTGGTTGCAGAATCAGTTGTTGTAGAATCCGTTGGTGTAGAATCAGTGGTTGTAGAAACAGTGGTTGTAGAATCAGTTGGTGCAGAATCAGTTGGTGTAGAATCAGTTGTAGAAACAGTTGGTGTATAATGAGTTGGTGTAGAATCAGTGGTTGTAGAATCAGTGGTTGTAGAATCAGTTGGTGTAGAATCAGTTGTGGTAGAATCAGTGCTTGTATAATCAGTTGGTGTAGAAACAGTTGGTGTAGAATCAGATGGTGTAGAATCAGTTGGTGTAGAATCAGGTGGTGTAAAATCAGGTGTGGTAGAATTAGTTGGTGTAGAATCAGTTGGTGTAGAATCAGTGATTGTAGAATCAGTTGGTTTAGAGACAGATGTGGTAGCATCAGTTGATGTAGAATCAGATGTGGAAGCATCAGTGGTTCTAGAATCAGTTGTGGTAGAATCATTGGTTGTAGAATCAGTAGTTGTAGAATCAGTGTTTGTAGAATCAGTGGTTGTAGAATCAGTTTGTGTAGAATCAGTTGCTGTAGAATCAGTTGGTGTAGAATCAGTTGGTGTAGAATCAGTTGGTGTAGAATCAGTGGTTGCAGAATCAGGTGTGGTAGAATCAGTTGTTGTAGAATCAGTTGGTGCAGAATCAGTGGTTGTAGAATCAGGTGTGGTAGAATTAGTTGGTGTAGAATCAGTTGGTGTAGAATCAGTGGTTGTAGAATCAGTTGGTGTAGAATCAGGTGTGGTAGAATCAGTAGTTGTAGAATCAGTGGTTGTAGAACCAGTTGGTGTAGAATCAGTAATTGTAGAATCAGTCGTTGTGGAATCAGTTGGTGTAGAATCAGTAGGTGTGGATTCAGTGGTTGTAGAATCAGTTGTTGTAGAATCAGATGGTGTAGAATCAGTTGTTGTAGAATCAGATGGTGTAGAATCAGTTGTTGTAGAATCAGTTGGTGTAGAATCAGGTGTGGTAGAATCAGTGGTTGTAGAATCAGTTGGTTTAGATTCAGTGGTTGTAGAATCAGTTGTTGTACAATCAGTTGGTGTAGAATCAGTTGGTGCAGAATCAGTGGTTGTAGAATCAGGTGTGGTAGAATCAGTTTGTGTAGAATCAGTGGTTGTAGAATCAGTTGGTTTAGATTCAGTGGTTGTAGAATCAGTGGTTGTAGAATCAGTTGGTTCAAAATCAAGTGTGTTAGAATCAGTTGGTGTAGAATCAGTTGGTGCAGAATCAGTGTTTGTAGAATCAGTGGTTGTAGAATCAGTGGTTGTAGAATCAGTTGATGTAGAATCAGTTGGTGTAGAATCAGTGGTTGTAGAATCAGTTGGTTCAAAATCAGGTGTGGTAGAATCAGTTGGTGTAGAATCAGGTGTGGTAGAATTAGTTTGTGAAGAATCAGTGGTTGTAGAATCAGTGGTTGTAGAATCAGTGGTTATAGAATCAGTGGTTGTAGAATCAGTTGGTGTAGAATCAGTTGGTGTAGAATCAGTGGTTGCAGAATCAAGTGTGGTAGAATCAGTTTGTGTAGAATCAGGTGTGGTAGAATCAGTTGTTGTAGAATCAGTTGGTGCAGAATCAGTGGTTGTAGAATCAGGTGTAGTAGAATCAGTAGTTGTAGAATCAGTGGTTGTAGAACCAGTTGGTGTAGAATCAGTAGTTGTAGAATCAGTCGTTTTGGAATCAGTTGGTGTAGAATCAGTAGGTGTGGATTCAGTGGTTGTAGAATCAGTTGTTGTAGAATCAGTTGGTGTAGAATCAGTTGGTGCAGAATCAGTGGTTGTAGAATCAGAGTTTGTAGAATCAGTGGTTGTAGAATCAGTTGGTGTAGAATCTGTTGGTGTAGAATCAGTTGTTGTAGAAACAGTTGGTGTAGAATTAGTTGGTTTAGAATCAGTGGTTGTAGAATCAGTTGGTTCAAAATCAAGTGTGTTAGAATCAGTTGGTGTAGAATCAGGTGTGGTAGAATCAGTTTGTGTAGAATCAGTGGTTGTAGAATCAGTGGTTGTAGAATCAGTGGTTTTAGAATCAGTTGGTGTAGAATAAGTGGTTGTAGAATCAGTTGGTGCAAAATCAGGTGTGGTAGAATCAGTTGGTGTAAAATCAGTTGGTGTAGAATAAGTTAGTGTAGAATCAGCTGTGGTAGAATCAGTGGTTGTAAAATCAGTTAATGTAGAATCTGTTGGTGTAGAATCAGTTGGTGTAGAATATGTTGGTGTAGAATCAGTTGGTATAGAATCCTTGGTTGTAGAATCAGTTGGTACAAAATCAAGTGTGGTAGAATCAGTTGGTGTAAAATCAGTTGGTGTAGAATCAGTTGGTGTAGAATCAGTTGGTGTAGAATCAGGTGTGGTGGAATCAGGTGTGGTAGAATCAGTTGGTGTAGAATCAGTGTTTGTAGAATCAGTTGTTGTAGAATCAGATGGTGTAGAATCAGTTGTTGTAGAATCAGTTGGTGTAGAATCAGTGTTTGAAGAATCAGTTGTTTTAGAATCAGTTGGTGTAGAATCAGTTGGTGTAGAATCAGGTGTGGTAGAATCATTTGGTTTAGAATCGGTGTTTGTAGAATCAGTGGTTGTAGAATCAGTAGGTGTAGAATCAGTTGTGGTAGAATCAATGGTTGTAGAATAAGTTGGTGTAGAATCAGTTGATGTAGAATCAGTTGGTGTAGAATCAGTTGCTATAGAATCAGTGGTTGTAGAATCAGTTGATGTAGAATCAGGTGTGGTAGAATCAGTGGTTGTAGAATCAGGTGTGGTAGAATCAGGTGTGGTAGAATCAGTCGGTGCAGAATCAGTGGTTGTAGAATCAGTTGGTACAGAATCAGTTGGTGTAGAATCAGTGTTTGTAGAATCAATGATTGTAGAATCAGTTGGTTTAGAATCAGCTTTGGTAGAATCAGTGGTTGTAGAATCAATTGGTGTAGAATCAGTTGGTGTAGAATTAATTGGTGTAGAATCAGTGGTTGTAGAATCAGTTGGTGCAGAATCAGGTGTGGTAGAATCAGGTGTGGTAGAATCAGTGGTTGTAGAATCAGTTGGTGTAGAATCAAAGTCAGTGGTTGTAGAATCAGTTGGTGTAGAATCAGGTGTGGTAGAATCAGTTGGTGTAGAATCAGTTGGTGCAGAATCAGTGTTTGTAGAATCAGTTGTTGTAGAATCAGTTGGTGTAGAATCAGTTGGTGTAGAATCAGTTGGTGTAGAATCAGGTTTGGTAGAATCAGTGGTTGTAGAATATGTTGGTGTAGAATCAGTTGGTGTAGAATATGTTGGTGTAGAATCAGTTGGTATAGAATCAGTGGTTGTAGAATCAGGTGTGGTAGAATCAGGTTTGGTAGAATCAGTTGGTGTAGAATCAGTTGGTGTAGAATCGGTGTTTGTAGAATCAGTGGTTGTAGAATCAGTTGGTGTAGAATCAGTTGTGGTAGAATCAATGGTTGTAGAATCTGTTGGTGTAGAATCAGTTGGTGTAGAATATGTTGGTGTAGAATCAGTTGGTATAGAATCAGTGGTTGTAGAATCAGGTGTGGTAGAATCAGGTTTGGTAGAATCAGTTGGTGTAGAATCAGTTGGTGCAGAATCAGTGGTTGTAGAATCAGTTGGTTTAGAATCAGTAGTTGTAGAATCAGTGGTTGTAGCATCAGTAGTTGTAGAATCAGTGATTGTAGAAACAGTTGGTGAAGAACCAGTTGGTGTATAATCAGTGGTTGTAGAATCAGTTGGTATAGAATCAGATGTGGTAGAATCAGTTGGTGTAGAATCAGTGGTTGTAGAATCAATGGTTGTAGAATCAGTTGGTGTAGAATCAGTGTTTGTAGAATCAGTGGTTGTAGAAACAGTTGGTGTAGAATCAGTGGTTGTAGAATCAGTGGTTGTAGAATCAGTGTTTGTAGAATCAGTGTTTGTAGAATCAGTTGGTGTAGAATCAGTGTTTGTAGAATCAGTTGGTGTAGAATCAGGTGTTGTAGAATCAGTTGGTGTAGAATCAGTTGGTGTAGAACCAGTTGTTGTACTATCAGTGGTGGTAGAATCAGTTGGTATAGAATCAGGTGTGGTAGAATCAGTTGGTGTAGAATCAGTTGGTGTAGAATCAGTGGTTATAGAATCAGTTGTGGTAGAATCAGTTGTTGAATCAGTTGTCACTGAATCAGTTGTTGAATCAGTAGTAGTAGATTCAGTTTTAGAATCAGTGGTTGTAGAAGCATTTGTTTCCATCAATGCTAACACTGATAGGAACATTGTCAGACAAACAAATCTGTGCTTCCTGGACCTCATTTTGCCGACACCTATCCAAAATCTACAAAAAGATTGCATTGAATTTACTTTAATGTTGAGTTACAGAATATCTAAAAATATTACATAATCATAAAAGTTTAATTTTGACATATCATTATTTAAGCCTACGAAGCGAAAAAATCACCTTTGGAAAAATCCGAAATAATTGGATAGTCTCGCCATTACTCTAAATTTTAGAATAAAATAACTGTTCATTTCCTTTTCGAAACAATACTATAAATCAAAATTCTTCTTCAAGAGAATATTCAAATCCTATTTTGCATGTATGTTTTTAAGTAAAATCTCACTAACCTGTTAATCCATTTAAATGTAATAATAAAATACAACATTTATTTAGCACCCTAAATAATTTGTAAAATTACTCTTATGCTCTTTACAATATATTGATAACGGTATTAGTTATAATTGTTAAACAGAAAAGGCTTACAGTCACAATTGTACATTAAGCAAAAAGATAATCATCTCAATGTGCACATAAATGAATAAATAAAGAGTGGTATGTACATAACGTATGTGCAAAGAGCCTAAAATGGAGACGTGAAGAGGTGAGTTGTGATGTCTTTCTGGAATTTTGCCATGGTATTTGACTTTCTAATGGCAGATGATAAGCTATTCCACAACCTGGTCAAAAGCCTCCCAAAGCGCTACTTTCCATAGGTCACAGTACGAGATTTTGGGACACACAGCAATGATTCTGTCTCCGACCGCAGTGATCGTGACGGCTGATACAGGGTAACAAGCTCAAAGTGTGAATCTTATAAATAAAATACTGGTTCAAGTGTAACTTTTCTGCTGAAGTCAAAACTTGTAATTTTGCAAAATTGTACATGGTAAAAGTATCAACCTCTCTCTTTTCCTTGTATTTTACATATTCAAAACACTTTTTATGTGTATTTTGATTTTTTAGATTTTTTGTACCTATGGCAGCACTTGTGTGTCCTTAATAGACGCAATGGCCATGTGGTACGGTTATAATGTCATTTCGTTCAAACAAAAATATAAATTGTTGGATTCTTCATACATTTATTGATCATTTTAATTAAAAAGGTTGTTAGCACTGCCGATGGTCTATGTCCTCGAGGTTGAGTGTAGCCTGGTAGCTCGAAATTTTACCTGATATGAATTTAAATGAAATACTACTTTAAGTATAATTTATCGGCTGTAGCTAAAAAGTGAACGCTATAAAGAGAAAAGAATGTCACATACATACAGTGATTTCATCTATAGGATATGGTAACAGATACAGTTTGCCATTATTGACTTACAGCGCATCATTCAGCTTGTGAATTCAATTTTAGTTTCCTTGAAATAAATAAATTTGTGTAAAATTTTATAATCATTGCTTTTAACATTGAATCAGGCATATTATGCAAATAAGATTGTATAAGTTAGGCTTATGTCTACAATGTATTTTCATAAATATCCGTTTAGCAGTTCTTGAAACATCAATTAAAACGTCAGCAAGTTTTAACTGTAAAATTCGAAAACGGAAAGAAAAATAGTTCTGCAAAATGATTTTTATTTGACACACTCATCTTATCTTATCTATATTAAAAATATTCAGAAGGAAAAACCAAAAATGTTAGTATTATTACTAAAGAATATTTTGAGGAGGGGTGTAAAAATGATTCACACTCAAGATTTTATAGATGCTCTAACATTAGAATGGCTCAGAAGATCTTTTCAAAGTTCTGGCAAGTGGCAAGTTATTTTCATGAGTTCCTTTCAACACTAATCTTATTATGAACTGTGGAAGTGATTACATATATAAATGTCAAAAAAGTTTTAGAAATAGTTTTTGGTCTGATGTGATTAAAGCTTGGAAAAGATTGATCAATTCTAATGTTATGAAGGTGAATCATAGAAAACAACTTTCACTCCTGAAAACCCCGCTATGGTACAACCCACAACTGGTCATTGGTGGACATTCTATTCTTTAAGAGTAGTAAATGACATGTTTAAAGATGTTAGCTCTCTCACTTTCTTTTCTTATCATAGATTTTCTTAAATTCAATGTATTTTTAATACTATGAGAACGAATATTGAAATACACAGGTTTCAGGATACAGAACTTCTTCTCCCTTTTATTCCGCTAAACATAGAATTATAAATCAAAAACACTAAAGGAATAAAAAATTCCAACAGGTAGGAAAAAATGGACAGAACATTTTGATTTTGATGAATCTGCTTGGGAGAATATATTTTCTTTACCTTTCAACATAACAAATAATTCAAAACTTCAGTGGTTTCAATTTATAATTCTTCATAATATTTTTACAACAAATTCATATTTATTTAAGGCAAACCTAGTTACAAGCCCTTTGTGCACACTCTGCAACTCCGAGAGAGAAACAAGTACCACATATATTGTGGGAATGTCAAGAAGTTCAAAATTTACTACACAGTCTGGAAATACTTTTAGATTCACTTTTAATTCCATTCACAGTCAACAAAGAATCATTTATTTTTGAGACAATGTCGCATAAAAATGAGTATAGTAACATTGATAATGAAATTAACGTTATTATAAAACACTGCATTTACAAAACTAGAAGTTAACATAACTCTCTCAATTTAAGTGCACTGGTTAACTCAATTAAAGTTCATTATCATATTAAAAAATGTATAGCAACAAGTAAGGGAGCTTGTTTTCTAGAAGATTTTAACAAGGAATGGAGAAAATGGAAATTATTGTCCTTTTTTGGAGCTTAACTATATTATGATGTCCTTAAAAGATAGAGTAGGAATTTTGACCTGAATCTTAGCAGTTTGATAAAAAGATAATATCAAATATAATGTCTTATGACATCTTATACAAGAAGGAATTCCTTAAACGTCAAAGCTTCATGTATCTATCTCTCAGCTTACTAGAAGTCAAAAATCTCTCTCTCGACTGAGTGTAAATATGATGATGACTGCCATTATGACATGATGATGACGAATAATTATTAATTATTATTATGAAACATCGTATGACGATGATGACAATGAGGTCATTCTATTGTGGTAATTATGATGATGATGATGATGATGATGATGATGATGATGATGATGATGATGATGATGATGATGATGTCATGCATTATCATGTTATTTAGTGATAATAATGATATCATTATTTTGTGGTGTTAATGACGATGATGATGATGATGATGATGATGATGATGATGATGATGATGATGATGATGATGATGATGATGATGATGATGATGATGATGATGATGACATTTGTATATGTTGTTTTGATGATGATGATAATGACGATGTTTTGCTGAAACATGAGTAGTTATGATTGTTTGTGTGAGAAAGTACATGTATATGTCATATTAATGTATTGCAAATGTCAAAAAAGGCTTAAAAAATAAAATCAATCATGACAAAAAAAAATGTTCATTTTCTAACATCTATCATTGATTTGAGGAAACTAGAAAAGAAGGAATTTGATATGAAACGGGCAACATACTGGGGTACATTCACATCGAACGTTTAAAAAACGCCTCGGTATATCAAATTATTTGTAGTTGACATCTACTTGTGAAATGCAAACACAAAATTGCGTCTCCATAAAAGTGTCAGCATTTCATCTGTAATTTACAATACAAGTTATAAAAATCCGAACCGAGAGCTATGCTAGTCAGTGTTATAACTCGGGTCAAATGTTTACAACAAAATGTTTTGAACTCCTCACGTTTTGTTATAAAGCTTCAAAGCGTAAGTGCAAATAACCAGACGGTGTGTCGTAAAAAACCCAGACCCCTACTAAGTAATCAAACTTAATATTGATTATCAATTGTTTAACTACCACACTTAGGACGTGGATTTTCTTCCTCTTTTTTATCTTTATTACTTTTGATTTTGAAGATATCAAAATGGATAACATAACTATAAATGTTGCGGTGAAATGTGTACTTTGTTCAGCACCGTGCATTAATACACAATTTGTTTTAATCTATAACTTGCTACATATTTAGAAGAGCACTAATTATACTTAACTTTGGTGTTTTTTTGCATTGAAAGGTTGATATGTTTCGTTTGAAATCATGTTGCGTAATTTGTCCGCATTCTGTCAGTAAGAAAGTGTTGGATAAACAGGGGAATACCCTCTCTCGCCTACACATAAATAGGATCTTACATGAGTTTCCATTTCATATGAGATTTATAAAAAAGAGTCTAGGATTTATTTTTAATCTAGCGAGCCTCTGGGAGCCTCTGGCGAGCTAAAATGCACAACTCGTGACGAGTTTCATTAAATTCATATGAAATTAAAACTTATGTGAAATCCTTGTTTCAGATAATCAATATTTGTGGCACATAAAACAATTGTCAACAGTTTTCATGTAACCCTGAAATGTAAAAAGCTGCCATTTTGACTTCAGTGCGTAAGTCTGTAACGTCATGTACTTGTCAAAGGCGTGACGTCATAATTGAAACAATTGTAACTTACAACCAATCACAGGGCTGAAAGGTTATATTACAGTAACAATGTAACACAGTACATTATTTAATAAATGTTACATAATTATATCACAACTACTAACAGTTATGCGTTATCAGCATGGGCGGACTCTTAGAAATCCAGCCAGTAACATTTATGCCCACAATGGAAGAGGAATTTGGGAATTCTTAATTAGGTTTACCTTTGTTTACATATTCCCTTAGACATCTCTCCGGAAATATTCTTTTCAAGAACCAAAAAATAAATGTTTAAATGACATTTTGTATAAAGTCATGACAAAATATTACATTAATTTGACAAAAATATAAAACAGCTTTAAATATTGTATTTGGCCCTCGATAAAGTGTTATTTTTTTGTATAAACAACCCACCACAAAAGAACACATTAAAATGAATTGCAATGGTTATTTAATAAAGTGGACTAAAGCATGTGTCTTAATTAAAAAATTTCATCAGATCTTGTTATTCACTACTGGTTTAAGTTTTTTTAGACAAAACATTGTTGTCAAAACCGCCATTAAACACATCAAATGACATCCTTCGTTTTATCATATTTCCTATTATGAACTATTATGAAGAGGCCAGAGTCTTTCTTTTTTTTGTCTGTAGTTATGAGCATTATACCCTTTATCTGGAATTGAAAGTAAGAATACTATCCTGTCAAAAGCAGATTAATGATGTAGTTAAATTTCATATTGTATGATAATAAATCACACATGGTAAGAAGGTAACATCACCGTTTTTTATAAAAAGGGACAATCATTCCATGCATAATTGCAGACCAGTTTCTAGGTTGCCTACTGTTTAAAAACACATCGACAAAGTAACGTTCAATAAGTGTTACTTTATATAAAGTTCTTTATAAGATATTACTCTTAAACAAATGTGTGTTTAAAATGATTAAAATTTGATGTTAAAGCTAAATGTTGTGAAACTTTAGGTAAAATGTGGAACAGATCAGGAAAAACGATTCCATTAGTAAAGGAAATATGTATTCTTGAATATTTCTCTTTATTTACCCCAATCAGGTTGTATCGAAGAAACATTCGTCCAATATGTTCGACATAATAACTTTTTGACAATATATATATACTTTTGTTGAATTTAATTTTTCCCACAACCACTTTATGTTTCCTCACTCCCGACTCACTGAATACCTGCTAGGAGTTGATAAACATTGTTTGTCTCCAACTAGTGGGCTTAATCCTGGACATGATTACATTGGTCAAGTTCCTCTTCACGTCTGCATTTTAGGTTCATTGCGCAGACGTCATGTAAATACCACCCTTTATTTATTCATTTATGTACACATTGCGATGATTATCTGCTTGCTTAATGTATAAAGGTGATTATATTCTCACTAATGCTATTATTCATATGTTGTAAAGCGCTTTAGAGTTATTAAACAAATTATATACGGCGCTATATAAATGTTGTATATTATCATTTATTATTTAATTTTCTAATGATTATTTCAAGTAAGGAAGCTCTGTGACGTCCCCCATTATGTCGCCGTAGTATATGGTAATTGTTTCCAAAATCGGAAGCAGGAATAATGTATTCCCAAGAGAAACATATGGTTTTATAGATATAAGCTTGAACGTTATAGGATAAAAAGGTACCCAAACTAGTAATGGTTTATTATGTTTATCTAACTCTCGGTAGTTCATTTTAGAAATTTAGAAACATGATAATCTGTAATCACACATTTAAGACTTCTTAAGAAGTTTCTGTCTCAACCCACAACTTCACGTGACCTAAGCTATTCCGAGGACGTTAAACCCAACCCAAGCATAGAGATTATCTTATCAAACATTTTAACTGTGATGATAACAATATTTATTCAAGCATTAGTATTTGCATGATATGAAAAATAAATGATCGTATAAAAATAAGATGCTTAAGAGGCGACGAAAAGGTTTTTTTACTGAAAGTGTTTCATTAGAAACCTTTCACGAAAATATCAATATCCAAGTTTTTAGATGTTTCTATCGGACACATGCTAATTTAGCTGCCTTTAAGTTAAGACGAGTGTAATTAGCTTATGTATAAGTGAAACACTTCGTTGAAAATGTTGCAATATTTCCTCCGAGCACATGTCAATATAAACATATATAATGCCTCGTATCAATTTCTTTTAATTATTATTCTTAAAATAAAGACAGATGGAGACAATTTGGCAATGATGTATTAAGAACAATTTAAATTATGATAACTAATTTGTGAAAATATTTTGCCTGAAAATGAGACACTCTTTTGTCACATGATTTCTGGACGATAACATCCATGAGATATAGCGAAAAAGACCATTAAGATCTAATTATATATTGATAGAAAATATGTTTGTTAAGATATGTGATGATTAATACACGTATATGTTTGATACTTACCCGTTTGATATAAGTTCGGTTCTCTAGAGGATGTGTTCAATGTAAGCACACTTGATAATTGTTTTGACTATTTCTTCCAGCACAGAATGTTTATCGATCCGGCTGCACCATGACGCACACATACACTGATGTGCCCGATATCAATTTTTCCCACCTGGCGCATATGGTTGGCAAATTATCAGCAGTGACTTAAAGATATTTACAACACTGAAGGTCAGGTATTAACACTGCAGGCGGTCTTCCTTATGCAATGATTTACTGCTCATATAGCCAAAACAAAATATCAAGTGAATTCAGAAAGACATATATTTATACCATTGACAGTTTAGGAAACTACGTCGGGATATCAGGGGAAATATCTAGAAAAATCTAAAACGTCCGTATGGATTATTTATTCGTACTTTGGTACTACAAATTATTGTTACTTCAGTTCTTTAGAGTAACTTAAGGGAAACATAAGTATATTATTCTTTAGATGCATTGACCATATTCAGGATTTGAAAAAAAAGTTGACCAGGAAACGTTAATCGTTAAAACGAAGCTTTATATATGTTCCCTGATGAATTCCATTACAAATGTTGAATATGGCGAACAATTAATATCTTATATTCCATTTAGTCCAGTTATTTTCGTACATTCTTATTTTTTTACACAATAATTAGTCATCATGTTAACCGGGTAACGATTTGAGCTGAATTTTGAGATATATATGTCTATAAATTTCAAAAATAGGAAATAATAAAAGTGTCTAGTATATGTTATTTTATTGAATGAAGAACATCATGAAAAAAATGGAAATTTTAAAGTCAACCATGTTTCACATTTACAGCTTAAACATTAATTCATATCGCCAAATTGGTGGGGGGGGGAGTTAGTAGAATGGCAGGAAAAAGAAACTCCGAGTTCAAAGTTTTATCCTTTATTTCTTATTCATGCCATGTCATATATTACAAACCTCTGATAACCTGTTGACCTTTGTTTAAATATATATATATGTGATTTGCTTGTTTGGCCTACGATTGTGTTTGCGTGTCATTGTCCTACCGTAGTGCTTATTGCAACCAACAGTTTTATTTTACTGCAATTAGACTTTAACTGTTTAATTATCATCATAAATGTGTTTCTTATCATATACTTCAACATAAATTGTTCACAGTTTTACCTGCTACTGTGTATGAGTAGCTATATCTTCTTTATAACATTTATTGGCTGTTGATGCCTTTAGTATTCGTGCCCCGAGTATAAGATACACTCAATGCCTTCTGCTGAGGGGGATATGTCGTTAGGCGATCTTCCCGAATTCACCAGGAACTTTGTCAGACAGTGTACAATGGAAATCGCCTATCAGCACAACTCTGACAAATGGTCCAACCCAAACAAAAATCGCATGTTTAATTGTTTGACGTGTGTATACATTTTAGATGAAAAATATTTTAAGGAGATAACCAGATATGCGACGGGCGGGCGGGCGGGTGGGCGGACGGACACACGAATTTAGCTTTTCAAACTTTTAAAGTTGCCTACTCTTAAATATTTTCCACAATGTCTTACCTTCACACATATGGAAAATACAGGTTCTTGAGAGACATATATCTTCTTAAATATCAATATGAGCTAGGACGATTTTCCATAGCCATCTTGTATAGTATTGTACCTAAAGACTACCAGTATCTATTTAGTTAATATTGTATCAAAAAAATTAATAATATCACACCATTTTAAGGATAATGTAAACAAAAGCTTACAACGGAAGCTACATTCGACTCTGGTTTTTAAAACTTTTTGATGTTATTGTAAATAATAACAGCACTTGTTAAGTCTCTTTATATGTTTATTTCTAACAAGCTAAAACAAAACTGAAATAAAACAGCAAACATCCACACACAAATCATTATCTAGTATTCTTACATAATACAAAAATTATATACCTTATTACGTTTATTCACGACTATAAAATGTTCAAATAAGCATATTAATTTCATAAAGATATTCCATTTTTCTCGTCAAATGAAAAAATATATATGTAGTTGTAAATCTGGTTAAAAAGTCGTCAAAAATAAACAAATATATACATAGTTTTCTTCTTCCGGTTTGATGAGGAAATACAAATATTTACTTCTATGCTTGCTTCAGGCATTTTCCTGTAACTAAATTCATGAATTGCAAGAACAGCAGTATTATGAATACAACGATACAGTACATTGATAATGTAACGATATCAATTCTTCAGCCCTATAATAGATGTGGTTATAATTATATTCACGAAAGTTTTTAAGAAATTCACAAAAAGAAAATTGGAATATTGAATAAGTTCAGCGAAAAGGCAGATTCCCTTGAAAAAAATATATACATCGTTTGAAGTTTTACTTATTATATTGAAATAGCACAAATACGTACACTACACGCATGCATCTTGCACACAGGGGAGGCCGTCCTTAAATGACCTTAGCTGTTAATAGGACGTTAAACAAAATCAAACAAACAAACAAACACAAATACGTGATGAGAGAAATTGATACGTGTTTAACGTATTTAATAATTAATTGAATTAGTTTCTATTGTCTTATTCCATATCATTATTTGAACAATGGATCGTAATATTCTACTTTACATCATCATTTTCCCATACTACACTGTTTGCCAAATAGTTCAAACAAATTAAATTTGAAGTAAGTAATACCACAATTATCGCCTTATTCTGGAGACGTCGCTTGAACGTATAATCCTGGAAAATAGATATAAGGTATATTCTTAAGCCACTCGAACACAAACTTTAACATATATGTGCACTCTGGAATGATACTCGTGTATGCCTTCTGAACATGTAGCAGTGTTTTTGAAAACCAACTCACTACATCTTTCTGAAAGGAACTCGGTATGTAAATACCCCCTCTCTATCTTAAAATGTCATTGTACATATCCAATCTCTATCCTTAAACCTCATTAAAGATCCCCCACTCTCTATCCTCAACTTTAGTTGTAAATATCCCCTCCGACCCTGAAGCCTCATTGTAGATATCCACTTTATACCTTCAAATGGCATTGTGGATATTCAGTAATATCCTAAAATATCTTCTTTCGATCCTGAAATTTATTGTAGATATCCAGCCTTGATATTAAAACCTCACTGTAGATATCATTATAGATATCCCCTCTCGATTTTTAAACTGCAATATAAATTCACTTTAGTTCCTAAAACCTCGTTGTTGATATCTCCTCTCGATCTTTTAACCTCATTGTAGATATCCACTCTAGATCCTAAATCCTTGTTGTTGATATCTACTCTCTTTCCGTCACCTCATTGTTAAAACCCTCTCCTCTATATCCTTAAACATCATCTCTTATATCCACTTTCGATCCTAAAACATCGTTGTTGATATCAACTCTCAATCCTTAAACTTCATTGTAGATATCCACTTTCTATCCGAAACTTCATTGTAGATATCAACTCTCTTTCCTAAACTTCGTTGTAGATATATCCACTCTCTATCCTAAACTTAATTGTAGATATCCACTTTCTATCCTAAACCTTTTTATCAACATTCTAATTGTTCTTAGTCATTGTTTTTTTCTGATGTCACATGCAGTTTCTTTTTCCCGCTCTTTTTAAGTTAAACATGTGCTAGTACGGTGCCCTTCACGATAACATGTACGTGCGAGGTCTGTAATTGTATCGGTTTCCAACAGCACTGGTGTCGTAAGGTGATGACAAGCATAGAGATCGGTTCGTCTGTACGTTCTGAAAATATAAATATCATATATTACACAATGCGATCAGGTATTCACTATTTCATATTTACAGTCCGTCATGGTAATTCTTCTATATCAAGGAAGAATGGAAAGAATGATAAAAATATTTGGAATACTGGAATACTAATGTCACTTTTATAAAAAGCTATTGTCATTCTTACATTTTGTCGAACAATTTGTTATTTTGTGCCGTTGAATCGATTTACTGAAAGTCGATTTAGGGTTGTGTACATATATGTTGATTGCATACACCGAGGCATGGTAAATATGAGACCCCTTCATCAATGTGTGTTAAGTTATGTTATGTCCTGGGGACAGAAGCAAGCGTCTTCCTCAATTGAGGAACATTGTACACTAAGGCCAAAAATTAGATATTACCAAGCAAGACATTAAGAAACAAAAAGGTTTTTAGGAAGTAGAGAGAAATAAGAAAGAGCCCATACGTTGCTATGGGTGTAGCGGATTTCTTTTGGTTGATGTTTTATCCCAAAGTTGAAGGCACAAAAACAAATCCTCAGTTCTGCAGGGAGGTCCCAAATTAGTTGTAACCAACACTATGCCGCGTGAAACAGCAGATTTTTTCTCAATTCCTGCCTGTAGGGATGTTTTAGACAATCAAGAAAAGTCGGACTGCTTAGATATAAAGATATCGGCGGAGAGCACATTTAAATGAGATAGCTATAAGATCACAGGTTACGTACGTATTGTGGATCTTCGATGTTATGGTCAATATAGGGACGAGGATAACGGAACACTGGGTTATGAAACTGCTGCTGTGGTCTGTCTTCATCTGCAAAAAGGCATGAATATCTGGCTTTCACAGTATACAACTCGACTCTTGATTTGATAAATTAAACGTCATGGTTAATAACAAGGTGATATCGTGATCTATGCGCTTTGATTGGTTGCTTGGGGTATGTTAATCATTGACATTTCAATTTCATCACACGAAGAACACAACGAAATGATTCTTTTTATGTTATCAATTATAAAAATAGCAATAGACGGTATGTTAGGTACAAAATACTATCAAATTATATGATGATTGTAAGGCACAAATATGTGATCGCACTTATTAATATGGTAATAAATAGTGTAGGCCAAAACAAAAAGACTTTCACTGCATCGTTATATATGACAACGTTGTTCAAACTCACTAGAAATGAGTCAGATACCAACTTAATGAACATGGTTAATGCTATGTTAAGACAGTAGCAAATATATCATGTCTTTGTTGACCTTAAGTGCTTCTATTGATAAAATAACAATCACTACACTTTATTGGAAGGGAAATAACCCTACCGCATGTGTGACATCTCATAATCAATCAGTCTCTCAAAACGTGACATGCATTACCCATCGGATTACGATATTCAAGTCAATGTTGTGAACATTACTGGTATACATGTCATTTTGTCATCATGAAAATTACTGGTTTACATACCATGTTGTCATATCATGAAAATTACTTGCATACATGTCTGTTGTTATATCTTGACATTACTTGCATTCGTGTCATGTTGTTATATCATGAAAATTACTGGCATATATGTCATGTTGTAAAATCAGGAACATTACTGGTATACAGGTCCTGTCATATCATGAAAATAAATGGCATAAATGTCATGATGTCATATCATGAAAATAAATGGCATACATGTCATGATGTCATATCATGAAAGTTACTGGTATACATGTCATTTTGTCATATTATGAAACTTACTGGCATACATGTTATTGTGACATGTCATGAACATAACTGGCATACATGTCATGTTGTCATATCATGAAATTTACTTGTATATATGTCATGTTAGAATGCATAATAATTATTTTACCTTTAGTTTTACCGCTATCTGTGGACTTTGTATTCATCACCTGTCAAGTCAACACCAATTCATCAATTAATCCAAACAAATCCAGAAAATGACAAAAAAGGAAATAATTTGAATTTCGGCAAAAACGATCACCACAATATAAAATCATATCAGTAAAGGGACAAAATCTCATTTTCTTAAGTGTGATTGTCCCTTCGCTTTGAATTTAATTCATATTCATTACCTGTAGTTTACTTCCGATTTTCGAAGACTGAGTCCTGTATTCAAATCGCTTAATCTTCTTCTCTAAAGCTCGTCTGACCTTCAATAAATGAATATGTAATAACCACGTAAGTATTAACAATAAATGTGTTTTATACATTTTTGAATTGCAGTTTAACCATATTTTTTCTAGAAGAAATTTCTGAATTCTCAAAAAACAGAAACCTATATTATTATTTGTTTTCACCCCAATTTTAGCATTCATACTCGCTAGTTTTAATGTCAACGATGAGGGATTATGTAGTATATGAATAGTTTAGTTAGTAGTACCTTCTCCTTTTCTTACTTAATTAGAAACATATAATAATTAATACTTACAGTAAGAAAATCAACTTACCGGTACGTTAAAAATACAGTAAAATAAGAATATGAAGAAACCCTGGAAAAACAACAATGTCATCTTAATTTATTCGAGCTGGAATACTTTTGAAAGTCATCGGTTTTATCAATTTTACAACACATTTTAACAACAACAAAATCCTTACTCTAAATAATTTGTATTTTCCAAGACAATTTTGAATATGTTGTTTGCTGTTTTAAAATACTATGAAATCATAATAATGAAGACTTTTTATACCTCGATTTACAATAAAACATTATAACAGTCTTTTTTGCGAATAAACAAGAGCGGATCACGATTCCACTTCTGACACACTTCATGTGATATCAAGGCATACACAAACAGACAAGAAAAGAATAGCCTGTCCTGAAGTGATGATATGAAAATTTCATCATATATATAATATATGACGTAAACGTATAACATTCTACTATAGTTATCAAAAGAGGGGAGATAGTTCTATCTTGCCTGTAGTGAATTGGTGACCGCAAACAGGTACTGGAATACGATAAGGTCGTCATTAACGGATATAACTCCAAATAACCACGTGACACCCAAAACCGGAAGTAGTACAGTCACACTTCTAACCCCCGTACTGCAAAACAGAATGGATTGTAGTTTCAGATTGTATATAAATTTGGAGCAGTAATGCTATGCAATAAAACTATCAACAAAAAATCATATGTTGTGTAATACAATGTCATTTTGTGAAGTTGCTATAATGCTGTTTGGATTATTTGTACGTTGAAGTGAAACATGGTGGTTTTCTTTTGAGGTTTTTTTTTCTTTTTTTTTTCTTGATTCAGTTATGTCTGAATTATGTAGTGGCGAAAGTATAAATATGTCTCCAAAGCAATTCAATTTTATACATTGTCTGGAACTCGGTTAAACCTATTTCGTTAAGATCAAATAAGATAAACATTCGTTTAATTTCCCCTTTTCATAATATGCGTCAAATTCATTATTCTATATTTCTGAATACGGTAATATATTAAAGATATTACTATGTAGTAACTATATTTATTCCATATACGTAGTTGTCTTATTTACATAAATATACAAGAGATGACAGATTTGTTCCATCTTCATTGATTCTACATAAGATATATATTGAATCATGTTAACAGAAAATGCAATGTGGTAACCTTCGATTAAATCTTTATATTGACATGTCTGACATTCTTTTTTTAAGGCGAAGTTGTCGTTTCGAATTAAGGGAAAGATCCTTCTGGTACCTCTGAGAAATATCACTCCCAAAGTTCAAATTCGAGTTCCGATTCGAACTCGTTTCAAATCATTCATAAATGTATTGTAATAAATGTCTATTACCAAGTTCCTACAGAGAACATAACAATATAAAGCAACAGTCACACGACCATTTTATCCCTGATAAATGGCTAGGTCCGACAGTTTGCACGTTGGGGAAATATTGATACTTATTGTATCATATTAAAATTGTAAATAGATATTTGACTAGGAAAAATGGTGGTCACATTTGTAAAAAAAAAATTAAGCCAGAAACAGTTAAAAAACAATTTTACGCATTAAAGGCAATGAATGATGACTCACGCAATTTTCTGTTTTTCTGTTTTCGTCCTGATAAACTGTGACGAATACAAAGCTTTCATCACACAGAAAATGATGATGATATTCACCTGTAACGAAAACAAATAAAGAATCCAAAATATACCAGGGTTCACAAACTTTGAACTGGATTTTCTTACCAGCATGACAATAGTTTCAATTAAACACTTCTAAAAAAGTAAAGAATGCCGGAAGGACAATGGACACTGCGCGTGCAGCCCAGGTGAGTTATAAAAACATGTAATTACAGTAAATTTATATGATTTAAAACAAATCTATGGCATTAGCAATATAATAAATAAATATATATAGAAGTTAGCGTTTCTTAAGATAACGAAATCGATAGTTAGATGCATTCCATTGAAATAGGAGAATAAAAACTGAAAACCAATATTAGAAGACATTTATTTGTTAATCATAAGCAAAAGCAAACGCTACCAACCAACCTTGTTACATGAGTAATGTTGAGCATATGTACTGTTTTCAATTTGACACCCATAGAAGTATTAGCACAAAATAATTTTCTTTACAAACATTACGTGAAATTATATCTATTCAATACCAACCAGTATGACACCAACTGCTGGTCCAACAAAGGAGTATAAGACGCCGTTTGACAGTGTAAGCCAGCAGCTGTAACAGTGTGTCCGGTAATGACATTTTGAGCTTTGTTTTACAATCATTAATTTGTTTATGCATTAGATAATTTATCGATTAAAATTGAAAGTAATCTATACGTATTTAAACATAAAAATGTTTAACAATGTTCACAATACACTTTATAAATAATTATAAAAATAGTGTTGTACCTCATCTATATAACAGCGTGTCTGATTGGAGTATTTTATACCATGACATGACACGCGCTCGAGTTTCCCCGGTCATATTTCGTTATTACTCATTCGGAGCCTCTCTAGTCAAATGGGCAAAAATACCACAACTAACGTTTGAGTGGTTAGGGCAGACGATAACAATGGCGCAAACATCTGATCATCTTTACTGGATTTTTGTATTATTATTATTTCAGAATAATAACATATTTTGTTGCTTTTATTTAAAAGGAAGCCTGAGTGAAAAACAAAGACTATTGATTTCCTAGTTTCCAAGTAAAAATATTATCAAAAACTCATTTAGATCGATTTATCGATGAATATTGTTATTTTCTTAATATGAAATTTAAGAGAATCCCCTATACTTCTGTTGAAGGCCTTTCAGACCATCTAATTATGACTTCTATTATTTAAGCATATAATAGAATAGTTATGGATTTTTGTGAAGGATAAATCTAATGAAATATAAACATGAACAAACTTATTGACTTCGGCTTCGGCTCAGTCAATATCATATTTTCATGTTCATATCAATATTCAAATGTTCATAATTGTATAAAATACTTACTAGTCTTCCGAGTGGTATTCATTGTTATATTTCATGCCGACCGTCACGCCCACTACCACTAAAGGAACACCTGCAAGTATAATGGGTAATTTTTGTAACTTTAGACAGGCAGATACACTCAGCTATAACAGTTAAGTATGCCGAGAGACCCAAACAAGTTTCCTTTAAAGTATGTATACGTAAAATAGATTTTCTTTTAACAAAACAATATTTGGACTAACGAACGTGTGTAAGATGTTTAGGACCCAATGTATTAGATATGAATAAAGCAACAACAAAAACAATCATCTTTTCCCCTTTTTCTTTCTTTCATTTTCAAATTGCATCGTTTTTAGACTTGATAACTGTATGACATATCTAATTGTACAATAGTCATGGTAGACATGTGTTTTTTGCTCAAAACTACAATCGGTTGTTGACGACACTCAAACAAACGCCCCCCATAACGATTTTATTTTATAGATAAAGCAATGCTGTTGAATGTCTAAAAAATATTTTCAAATAAGACTTTTATTTTCATCGTCGTATTACTTGTTTTGCATTGACAACGAGACCTGTGAATCTAGTTCCACACATTTGACATTAAAACAAACCTAACGAGGACATAACGAGGATCATGCAAGGACCGAAAATGAGCTCGAGAGACCGATAGATTTTTAACCAATATTTTAAAATTTAAGAATATCTGTCCCACTACACTGTGGTTTTTCGTATATACAGTACGCTTCCCTTTAATTTCATTTCGGATATAACTGCAGTACAGTACGCTTCCTTTGACCAGGTATCTCAGTTTGTTAACGCGAAATTATACCAATTTGCAGTCCTTGGTTCGAATCCCAGTCTAGCCCTGTTTCATTTTTTATACTCAGAACACTGTTGATGATTATATTTTGTGTATATCTTCATATTTAGCTTTTGTTAAAATTCCCGTGTGGTTTTGGGGTTTTATTCAAGATGATTTTTCAAAGCAAAAGTCATGCCGGAAAAAAAGAGTTTCTAATCCATTGTTACAGCATTTGGCAGTGGAACGGGAATTCTTAAAATAACGGTGTGTATATCAAAGCTATGTGATGGTACTCCATATATCTACCTACCCCATCCAAGAAGAAGTAACCATCTCAGCTTTGATTTAACGTGAAACACAGATGTAACGGATATGAAAAGTTGAATACCCTCCGCCAGCATCAGACAAAAGGTCGACAGGAGAAAGTAGTGTAGCAATGCGGCTATAGTGGTACACAGAGTCTGCCAGATTTAAATACAACAACATATGATATATATATATAAATATATATTATTATATAAAGTCCTTTATTCATTTAATATTGACCAATCAAAACAGTGATTTCCATGTGCTGCATTCAAAGCAGTAAAGCTAAAGATAGAGTAACGGTAAAAAAAATACTTATGATATACTGTTTCAAATGGTAAATCCAAATTCCAGATTATGCTACTTAATCTCGCACTTTGTTCATCCAGTAATATTTTGGTCGTTACACTATAAAATTGTAATAAGTGAATAGTAAATTAAATGGTTTTTCCCTTGAATAACAGAAATTATTCACCCTTCGGCAGAGTGTAATGATAATTTTCACTCCTGCTTCGTACTCGTAAAAAAATCCGAACTCATTCTTTGAAATATTTGAGGTATTTAAAAGAAAACTATTGCATATTCTATATATATATAAGTACCCGAACCCTTAAAAACATTTTATCAAATACTGCTGACGTGACTCGGAACACGGATAGTATTTTACGAGAGTTCGGCAAAAAAGTTTCTAATAAACACAAAGTGGTTGACACGACGGATTTCAAGTAATCACTAAGGTGACATTTTCGTTCCCTTCAGCCTGAGTGCACTTTTTTTTACTTGGTATTAGTAAATTATCTATTGGTGGTAAAGGCAATTTAGATATTTCAGAAAAGATGTCTTACATACTTACATTGTTTTGTGTTTTGTCAATACCCACGAGAAACAATACGTAGGAAGTGGTTAGCGCCGCACACAGATTTAGTAGTAAACGGCTTCTGTCACTTTTTAAATACCTTTTGAAACCAAGGTTGATAAAATAAATGTAACCTGGAGTGTTCTTAGGCTTTTTGTTTAAAGATTGATTTTAAATACAAAATTTTCTTATATTAGCAAAATTAATTGTAACTCAAAACAAAATTTAAATGCATACGGATATAAAAGGTCATCTGAGGCAAGAAGTTCTTTTTCATTTCAAAGCATTCACCTAAATTCCATAAGCATCTACAGTAGATAAGCGTTTAATATTCGAACTGCTATTAATTAATATATTAATATACTAGATTAATTAATTGTAACTCAAAACTGAAATTAAATGTTAACGGATATAAAAAGATCATCTGAGGCAAGAACTTCTTTTTCATTTCAAAGCATTCACTTTAATTCCATTAGCATCTACAGTAGATAAGCGTTTAATTTCGAACTATATACCTCCATAGCTTCAGGTATACCACCATTGTTGTCACTGTGGATAACACCGACAGGATACAGCCCACAAAACTGATTATCCGGAGAACATAGGCATCCTTCAAAAACAGATTGTATTTGTGCAATGATAAAATACACATCAAAATTAATCCCTACATATTCATAAGTTATAATAAAAATTACTTTGAGATCACCAAGGCAACCAGCAATATACCTCTTCGTAGTCAAAGTAACCTTAACAAGAAAATGCAGCAAAGCTGCTGGACACCAAACCATTTTATGAAAATGACTTACTGACAGTCCACCAACCACGAGGGAACGGATCCTGCATACTTTAATCTATTTAATTATAATCATATAAATTGTAAATGGCATTAATTGTGTTGTTCAGAATATTCAGTTCACGCTCAATATCTAGTTGTAACCGCACGTTTTGGGCCAAATGTCAATGATTTGGTAAAAATGTCATCTTCTAAGAGAGATAGAGAAGCCGGGGACATAAGACGATTTACATAAACTATCATTTACACCTTTTGTCAAAATTGCAGCAATTTATGCATATAGAATTCTTTTGACAATGTCCCTATTTGACTATTTTGGATAAAATATCAACCATTTTCTAGGATAAAGGGTCAATTCTCCCCAGACCAATTTCTACTCCACCTANTCCACCTGGGTTGTTGGAGTTGTATAGGCAGGAGAAAAACACTTGCTCTGCATATCCATGCATACGACAACTTCTGGGATCGAACCCCGGCCGCATGGAAGGCCGTTGTGTTAACTTTGACCACTCGACCATATTAGCATATGACATATTGTTCAGAACGACTTTAACAAAAAGGGACCGAAATTGCCCCTGTCCCAATATGGGGACATATATTTTGAAATAAAAGTCCTCAGCAGGCAGGGGTTTAGGGGGATAAGGTATCCTGGTTTAACCCCCACCCCCCACCCCCGTACGAAGAAAACATAATAGTACACCCATTGAATAATGACAGGACTGGATGTTCACTCTACTGACAAAATGTAACTGTTAAGTTATGTAGGAAACAGTAATTTCATGTGTATGTGTGCCAGCTGTTTGGGTCTCGCCTATTTCATATTACAAGTGAAATAAATATAGCGTATTGAACGGGAAAACCATGAAATTTTCTATTTCTTACATTTCTTTCACGTTTCGCTGCGCAAATATTGCTACATCAGAAAAGCGCGGGAATGTATAACGTAGTTTTTGACGCCAAATTATAATGACGTCATGCTTGACAACAATACAAAACGCCACTTTGAATGGGTTTTCACTGCAATTTTGCCGTTTGCTAGTAACTCTGGTAAGATTTCCAGACGAAAATGATATTAATTGTGTAGTTATGTAAAAACAACAATGTATGCTGCAAAGGTAAACAGCTCAACCACTTATACTACCGTCACTTCATCTAAACTTGAAACTGAAAATCTACGCAGAAATATAATGTACCGTTCAGATTGGACAATACTTACAGAGTGAAGTTTTTACTTGTGAAGATATAATGTTTCGTTTATCTTCACTGCATTAAATATATGTGTTTTTTAAATAGAGAATTCATGATATTTTACAAGTAAACTGCAATCAATACCGATACGGTAGGGTTTACCAACATATTTTTGTAGACAGTATGCGGCCTTAATTTCCCAGAAGGCTTTCACGCATGGGGAAGCACCGGAAGTGGACAAANGGTCGACTTTTTTTTTTTTTTTTTTTTTTGGAGTCAATTATATTTCGATAGTTAATTTCCCGGAAATTGTTGGTTAAAATAGATGTACTTTTGAAATCGTGACAATTCGTACCCAAATTTAAATCCTCGAGAGAGAGAAAAAATACTTTACAGATAGTTTCAAGAAAGATATTTACACGTGAGGATATTCAAACTTATATACATTAACTGCTTTATGTTCTATCAGAGAAATCAGCATGTCATGATTATAAACATTTGGCTGAAAAAAACCCAATAAGAAATAGAAACAGAAGAGAGTTTCTTTAACACATACACTTATTAATAAATTATATGAACTGTTCTTCCCTTACCTACATAGAGAGGATCAGTATGAAACTAGCCCCATAGAGTTGCATAAAAATGGAGATTGATTGATTGACAAGGATTATTTACTTTAGTTAGGAATAACACATGTTTCCCGATCGGACATGAAAAGGTAATGATAATAATTAACTTTATTTATTGAGGATGAAATGCATGGTTAGCCAAAGGCTAATCTTCCACATGGTCCCCTTGTTAGTAAAATACATGTGTTAGATAAAATAACATATTTACGCAATCGATATTTAAGCAAACATGGTTATCCTGCTAGTAAAATACATATGCTAGTTAAAAGTTACATATATATTGATACAGTCGACACATATATGGCTATATCAGATTTATCTTAGTTAAGAGTATCACAGAATGCATAAAGTTTAATGCATAAAGGTATAGTGTCACCTGTTAGACCACTTGGGGTTTTTCCCGATAACTCCCGTTCCCTTCCATAATAGGACCCAAAGTGCACTAACATTAGGACCAACAAGAGTCAGTAATAGAAGTCAAATAAATGTTTTCATAACTTTTGTAAAATAGGTTTATTTATTTATAACACATTTTTTCGACAAAAAAAAGATAAGACTGGTTTTTCGATATTCTTTTAATGGTTATGAATTACATGGGTACATGTTAAAAAGTTAGGAAAACATCATAATTTTGACTTTTTACGTGGATTTGTGATAAAATATATATATATATAATCGCTGCTTGTCATGTCACAATGGGTGATATAAAACATGCTACATATCATACATTTAGATATTTTATAGGGTTTGATTTCGCTGATTAAAAGCAAGAAAATATCAAATAGTTTACCTACCGACACCTCTATGGGACTAATAAGAACGGCGAAGTTTGTGAGATGTGTACACTGACAGGAATGATTTACCCAGCTACAGCCCTGAGATAGCCAGCCCTGTGTTCTGTAAATAGAAAAGATAAATCGAGAACACCCTCCATCACACGTTCATTTTCAGAATTGTCGCCAGATCGCAAACCGTGATAGATATAATTTACTTAATGCATGTCTCAAATTAGTTAATTATGATAATTCCCGGAAACTTTGCACATATTCCTATTTCGCCATGAAGTTTTTTATGATTAATAATAAAACTTTTTAAGACACATGGAAAATTGTAATTTGGTCAAGAATTAGTCAAAACTAATCAAATAACATTCTTAACAACGTGATGATCAATAGACCTGGCAAGACACTTTAACCAACGAAAACATGAACTAATGAAAAAAATGGCGCTGATCGGTAGCAATGTAGTGTAGCTTAGCACAAAAAAAATAATTTTCCGTAGCTAACACTTCAAATACATCCTTTTATAACAATTGCATTTTTCCTACATGATAAAAACAAATCCTTTCTCTACTTTCTATACTTTCTTATTCATAAAGTTACAAATAATCATAATATACTTTTGTAAATCAGTATAAAAAAAATCAAACTTACTCATTCCAGAATACACATCTCTTTTTAATGTTGTTCGTCAGATTATGCTGAGATGAAAATGTAATTATTAATATAAGTGCATATCTTTCGAATATCGTTCTTGTATTTATACTTATCTTCGTTATGATCGTATTAATATAACATATTTTTTCTCACATACACACATATCATAACTATTTGTTTCAAATTCTAGCAAAACTCTGATTATAAATATTTACATATTAACGTTAATTTTAAGGAAAACGTTGTTGTTATCTTAATTAAGCCATTGAATAATGTAATCCGCATTTAAGTCATTGGCAACAGTATTTTGTTCTCTTAAACCGGACAATATTGCGAATCCTTAAGGATTTTACATTAGATACTGTCTAAGACTAAACTTTTGTTTGATGAAGTTGACAATACTTGGATCGCACTATTTGCCAAAACATTTGCTGTTACATGAACTTTAATATTATTTGCTATTCAGGTTATTCAAACAAATACAAATTTACTGTTAGCGAGTTATCGCTCATGGCATATAGCAACACTGGACAGAATTGTCTGAAAAGCATACTGTTACCATGGTTCATATAGTTATTAATATTAATTGATAGACACAAGTTTTGCCGAGTTTACTTTTATTGAAAAACATTAACAAACCATAAATAACATAATAAAATACAAAATAAAACATAACATCTAATATAAATCAGTATTCTAAATACGAACATAAAATAAAGACGAATAAATATATACGTACATCCCGTGTAAGGTTAACCGTGTCAAATGTCAACATGACAGGAGTTTTAAGGTGGTTCGTTTCCCTACCGTTGATGGACAGTGATAGGACCTCGGATGTATACTGTTGAACACCGTCAGAACTGCGAAATTGAAAACTCAACTAGATAAATGAAAGACTGAAAATATTGAATTAGTGCCTTTCATTCAAGTTCCCTTTTATCAATTTTGTATAAAAGTTTCGTGTTAAACAAATATAAATTGTAAAGACGTGCTATTCTGGTTTGATTTTATTTTCAAAAGTTTCAAACAAAAAATGAATAATTCAACGATTCATAACAAAAATTCAATAATTTGATTTGATTTTCCATATAAATAGAGTTGTGAAGGATTTTACCCGTTCTTGTTTTGAAGAAGAAATCCCATGGTTTTGTATAGGGCAGCAGTAAATGTTATATCATCTGTCAACAACGAAAACAAAAGACTTGAATCATTTTACATTTATTCTGATACTTTGTACAGTTTCATCAGCTTTTGGGATGGTGTCACTCAAAATAATTTTCATTTTGTATTTAACAAGTAGAACTCATATTACATCAAAACATCATAGAAATTCCAGAGGAAATACTCACTTACGTTCTCTGCGCCCCTGCAACATGTCATGACAAAAATGATGTCACGCGGCTAGTTATTTGATGGGTTTCAGGTGAAAAATAATACTAGTACACTCTTGCCCTTTGAAGATTACTGATACGCGATTTCCGACTTCATATCCGGTTAATTGTATCATTAGCATACGCTACCGTGCAATTCTTTTGATTTACATCAAAGTATCAAACTAGTTGTCATGTATCAGCATAAAGTTGTTGAACGCTGAGTCTTCTATCTTGTCATGACAAATTCAAGGGTTTCAGAGATCGAAAGTAAGCGTAACCCCTGGCATGTTGAAAAAAATAGCAATAAAAAAAATAAAAGAAAATAGCAAACTACAAAGAATTAAAAGCATTTCTAATAAATAAAGATCTGATATGGTCCTATACCAAATAGAATGTACCATGTGAATTCAGTTTCATATTCAACGTTGACATGATATTTTTCTCGTTAAATTATAATAATTGTATATTTATTTATTTGTTGATAGTTATCAGAAACTTTGATAAATAATTTAAGCAAATTTTTGACGCAAATATTACAAAAATGGTATTTTGAGTGATGCCCCTTTTATAATTATGTACATATGCTTTCAATATAAACTGATGAAAAAACTATCATATTTAGTGCGATAAAGAAGCATTAAAGTGATATTTTATATTACAATACTACAACTGAATTTTATGATGATGTAAGATAAATACAAATTAAGCATAACCGTACAAAGTCAAAAAACACATGTAATTTCATCAAACATAGACCAAAGATATAATTCATGTGAACCATCATAATAAAAGCGTTAATAGTTTTGTGCATTAATGAGATCTTTGTTAGTAGTTGTTTACAACATTTACTCTCCTTACACTCTGTTAATCTAATTATTTCGCTGAGGGGGTTTGCTTTGAAATAAATTCTTTGTCAAAAATCCCTGCACATTTGTGAATGAAGGCAAATTATCATACCGTATAACATCAATTTATCTATCGTACTGATGGTATATTTTACTCCAACGTAAAGACTTGCCTGAATTTTAACCTATAATTAGAGTTCAAGCGAAATATTATGTTTATACAGTTTTTCAAATATTAATATAACACTCATAAAGACTAAGTTTGTATTGAGCACAAACATGAATTAAAAACTTATTTAGCGAGCTTTCGAAAACGTCTATTTCCTTTGTCAATCAAATAGTGCAAATGCTTTCATTTCACTCATTTCAAAGTGACGAAAAATTATTTGCAATATCAAGTTTCATCTTCGGGATATGTGAAGAGTGTGTATTCAGAAAAAAATGTTGTATCACAATGAATTTTCTTCCCTGCAACGTGGTGATACATTTTACTTGGTACGAATTTGGCCACAGGATAAAAAAAAGCATATTGACGCAAAACAATTTGCCTTCGATTTCTTTTCTCTGGCCATAAACATCTAAATTTGAAATAAAACTCTTTATTTATACAACCTCAGAATGTTTCAATCCGCTTTCAAAAACCGTATCAAGTCTCCAAATACGGTGATTTGCAGTGTGGATAAAGGTGAATAGTCTACAGCCAATGTGAAATGCCTTTCCAAAGAACTAGCTAGTACGACTTATTTACAAAACATAATTCATGATATCCGTCGAGGAAATTATGTTGACACCGTAGGTATGGGGACATGTGCATTTTTACGAAAATAAATGAATGTATATATTATTTGTTATTGCTATATCATTGTCATTGTTATAGGGAAACCCGGGTCTTTGTTTCTCCAAGAATAATTATGTTTCGTGAGGACGAGGCCCTAGTATACTGAATCGGGGAGAAACAAACAATCTTGCATCCCAACAACAATGGTAATAAATATTACATTATGTCGCACCATTGTTGTCATCGGTTTCAGGCTTTCTGAACTCGGTTGTGGTGGCTGTTGCCAAATTTTTGTACAAAGGCTCCGAATAAGTGAAATATGACCGAGAGAATGCGGGAGCGATAGGACGACATGATGTTTTATTGTCCCGTCATGTGATCAATAACATCCAATCAAATACGCTGGTTCAAAGATGATGCATGTGTTATGTTTTCATATTTAGACCAATATTATCCTCGTGCGATCCGTAAAACTACTGAAATTCTCTGTTACCGACGGCAGCACAACTATTTCACTGTAAGTCTTATATTATTTCACGGTACACTCGGAATTTAGTATCCATGATTCATCTAATAACGAGACTTCCCAGGGTTGTCTGACGCAAAAAACATTTCGGACTAGGTCTTGTTTTGGTGGAACGAACAATGCCTGTTCTAAAACATTTAAAATTCCTAAGAACCCCCAAAAATATGAGAATACTTCATTCAATTACTGCAAATCAGCAAAAACGCATTTAATGCATTATCATCAAGATTTTTATAAACAAATTATTGTAATTTACTGTTTATGGTGTCAACTAGAATCAACTTACATTCCAAAGGCCAAAGGTCACTTATTTTTTAACGTAACAATGCAGAGATAATCAACACTGCCTTTATTAAAAACTCACCAAAGTCATGTAGATTCAGTGATATTCCGTGTCCTGACCCTGGAGAAGAGTTTTCTGGTTTGAATTCTATGTTCGAAGAGCTTGGTTTCTCAATTTTGATAACTGTGAGAGAGAGAGAGAAAAAAAAAGAGAAAAATTGTGTGTCTGTCCATGAAGAATTTCAAATCATAAGGCAAATTTTGTTTTTAAATTTCACTTATTAACGTTTTGAAACACAAATAAAAGCTATCGATGAAAATAGAAAATTAACAATGTTCTAGCACAGAAAGAGAATGGATTCAATATGAAAACACAATATCAGGAACAGAGAAAAAAACGGAGGGAATGACGTCCTGAACTATCATGATAAAATAGATTGGGAGAGAAACCTATTGTCGGGAATGGAAGTTTGTAAAAAACACTGAGGTGATGATCACTTACTAATATTCGGTGTGATAATATTAATTTTTGCGTTCCGACTTGTAAGGTTTTTTGCGACAGCCGAACCAAATCTTTCCACCGTCATCAACAGGCTGGTGGCTCCAGATGGCAAGTCAGTATTCTTCCATGGAAAGAAATAAAAACAATATTACAGAAAAAATGTTGGTTGTTATTTACTATTGTATTATATGGATGTTTTGTGTATATTTGTCATTAGCATACACCAACGTCGATGCATATACTGTAACTGAATGAAGAAATATGTTGTAGCCTCTAGTAGTAATAGAGGTTGCATCATCCTGCCACATTACGTTCAATTAGCCAAGGTAAACGCTAAAACAAACAAAATATCATGCAGTGTCCGGTGCACTTTCACTCAAGCTTACTGACGTCGTTTTCCGGGTATTGTCAAATCTTTACCAAATCATTTAGCTTTTTTCGTCTGTATACCTTGCTGTTGTCATTGACTTTCGTCCATGAGGCCTTATTGCTTTCTGAGAGCATGTCACTAATAATTCCTACAAACTTCTTTACACAGTAAAGAAAAAGAAAAAAAAGGAATGAGTTCATATCATTGATACAAACAAAATCGATACAAAGTAGTATCAGTTTAAGGAAGGTGCGCTGTATTCATATAAAATCTCAGAAAATGAAATGTTCATATCGAAAGTGAAAAAAAATGATTGCAGAGACATTTATCTATTTTTAATCGAACAAGATAGCAAGTCAATAATGTTTCAATCATGAAATGACGGGAACTTGCGGGGTTATGGGAACCTGTTTATTTTTAATGTTTGGCGATGGTTAGCAAAATTTTAAACGATAATATATTCACATTGGTATGATAAGTTAAACATATATATATTGAAACTAAATACTTATTACTTATTTATCATTAAATAGAGTTTTAAACAAGACATTGGGGAAAAGTAAAATATTAATCATTGAAACGAATTGTCACAAACTATGTTCCTTATACGTTTCATGTTTTAGAAACTAATCACTCTTAAAATGACTGGTATTCTTGGTATTTTCAAATATACATACCGTTTTGTTCACTCTTACTGTGTTCTCGTCGGATGTAATGAGTTCCACCATATGGTTAAGAACAGCTGTTGTATTGTGCAGATCGCCAGCAGTCATCTGTTTGTTGTCCCCAGGCAGTGTCATATTGGCGATTATGTCTAATGCATACCCTATCTGTTTACCTTTCTCCTCTGTGGTGCCTCCAAACTGATTGAGGTCGTTAATCTGAAAGATAAAATTGAAACAAACATGAGAAACAAAATGCCAGAATATAGTTAACCGTCTTATGATATTAATCTGTAAAGATCATAAGATCTTGTGTTTGAAATAAAAGCAGCAAAGGTGTTCACGCAAAAACAAAGAACATAATGAATTAATAAGTATAAATTCCTTACCACAAAAATAGTTAGATATAGTCGCTTTTTAGAGTAAAGTGATAAAGAGCACTAAAATATTTCAATTTTCTATAGGGAAAAGCGCAATTCACGCGGACATATGTGTACGGACCCGTTTTCATTACCTGATTTGAAATAAAGTGATTTCACTATGAAAATTTGTTGACATTGTATCTGAGGTCGTTGTTTTTTTGTGCTTTTGTTGTTGTTTTTATTATTATTATTATTATTACATAAGAAGGAAGACACCATGGCAAGTGAAACAGAGGTTGTAAGAAGTGTTTACCCTCACTTCAATAATCCACTTCATGTCTCCACCGTGACGCCATAGACATTTTGTCTCCTTATTTGTGTTGACGCTCTCATATATCCCCCAACTATGTTCACGCTGTGTAAAGTATTGTTTCTGAATACTGACGATATGATTTATTTTGTCACTGCAAATTGCCACTGCAGGAAATTTTGTCACTGTGTTTTGCCGCAGTGAACTGTTTGGTCATGAGTCTTGACATTGTTGTAATGTTGTATATTTTGTTCGGGTATGTTGACACTGTGAACTATGTCTGATCATTGTGGGTTGACGCTGTGGTATAGTTGTTCATGTAAGTTGTCGCTATGGTTTATTTTATTTGACACTGTGGCATATTTTTATCTGCGGTGACGCTGAGGTATCTTTTGACCCAGTATATGTTGATGTTAAGATAAACTAATATCTGATATGTTAGGCTACGATACAACCCTCCATTGTCTGTTTTGCTGTGGTATTTCATCCTTATGTTTCATCGCTTCGGTATGTTCTGTCTCTATGTGTTGATGCTGTGGTTAATCTTTTCATTATATGTTGACGGTAAATGTTGAATAACTTTGTTGTTCACGGTGTGGTATATTTTGTTTCCTTATGTGTTGACGCTGTGTTATATTTTGTCCTTTATGTTAAAACAGTGGTATATTTTTTCCCTGTTTGTTGAAGCACCGCAGGATTTGTATACAGTTTTACACTTTGACAATTTCCTGTTTTACAACTTATCTTTGATTCAATCCCTATGGACAGTTTTCCACATACCTCATTCGTTGCAAGCAAAATCTCTTCCCTAACACACTCAAACATATTTACACTGTCCCATCTCCCATCTCCATTACAAAGTCGATTTGCAGTTCCTAAAAAATATAAAGGACGATAGTTTGACGACAATCTCATAATACAAAAATGAAACACGTGTCAATAATTTTGCCCCTGTGTGAGACATTTTTCAGCGAAACTCATAACTATATTGAAGCAATACACTTTGTTTTAGCCTCTATTCGGTATTTAAACATATGGCATCTTTGATCATTTGTTTTGAACAACTTTTAAATCAAATAATATACATTTATGATAAACGTTTCTGTTACCTAAGTATCCGGACGGGCAATTATTTGTCGAGGAGTAATTAGCTGGGGTTGCTTCCCATATGATGCCATTGATGAGCTCTGCAGGACAACGGATAACTGCAAAATAAATTCCTCACTAACGAAACCATGCAAAAATGGTTTGGCATTCTAGTTCACAATTTTTATTTAAGAACATAAAGAAGGACATCAGGTAAAGGAATAGGGATAACACTTGATACTATCAAGATATATTTCTCTTATTTCATCAGGTTATAATGCTTGTATATCATGGTTGCTACTTGATGTGGAATAGCCGCTATTTTTAACCTGTATTCACACTGTCGCTTGATGATATAACTTGATATGCTAATTATTATAAAAAGAATACATCAATTACATAATCTATTTTATCCAACACGTCTAAACACTTTCGTTATCTGCATCCCTGGAATACGTCATGGCAAAATTGAAGGCATCGTGTTGCTGGCTTTGAAGTCGGGCGTCGCCCCTCTGTAATCTTCAAATGACAGGTATCAACATAGCGATTGGTAAGGTTTTTTTTACCCGAGACCAATCAAATAGCTAACCACGTGCCTTCAATTTTGCTATGACATATTCAAGGGGTTTAGAGTGCAAAAGTGACCATAATCCCTGGAGTATCGAGGATGAAATGTACCAAAACGATAAGTTAAATATACCTACCTGCTTTTGTATCGACTATGAGGCTGCTGGTCTGAGTCAAACACTTTTCATGCGGATTTTTTCGGCACAATTTACATAGGTAATACCCACCATCGGACGATTTAATGGTCGGAAAAGGCAATTGCAATTCTGACACATTTGTTTCTGAAAATATTAGCCTCATTATGTAAAAAAAATGGGAAGGGGAAAGTAAGAAAATGTGATATCTAACAGTCACAATATATTAATTATCTTCGTTATAGCATTCTACAACTCATCTGTTATTTTCCAATATTAAATAACCGACGGTAATATTATTGAACGTTATATGTAATTTTACTAATGTAATATATATTGCTATTCCCATAACTGAAAGAAAGCAAAACAACCTGCTACTGATTATTCAGACATATTTTAAAGACTTTATGAAAACTTTAAAGTTTTCTTGCAGTAATTTAAAAATATCTCAACAATTGTAGGCTGCATTGGATGAATGAATAACTTGATTTACCGCTTAGCAGTGGTGATCCATCATGGAACAAGGTAATTGTCCAATTAGACCAGTTGATTTCAAGCCAGTTGCTTATCTTACAAACGATGGTTGCGTTATTCCCTTCCTCTACTGCCGTAGACAAAGGAAAAATCTTCAGAATCGGCAAAGGTTGAACCGTTACATTAAACACCATGTTTTGGCCTCCCAGACCACAGTATACCTTTCCTGAAATCAATATATTTTTTATTAGTATTGAAAGGGTTCCCGTTTTGCTTTGTATCTGTAAAACCTAAATGCATCTTAGGATAATTATACCTTTCATTTTAACATTGTGCTAGTCTTACAAAGAAAACCCTGATAACTGAAGGAGTATTTCAAGATATTTCGTTGAGCAGAGATACCTTCGTATATAGTTTCTTTTAAAACATATTAGAAATGTGTTTTGATGATATTTCATAAATAAGTAAAGGGACGTTTCCTTACAGCTTACTTTCGCCACAACCCTGGAATATGTCATAGCAAAATCGAAGGCGCAGTGTGCACCACCTTTTGGACGAGACGAGAAGACTAGTTTGATCCTTTGATGTACATCAAAAGAATCTCACGGTCACCTAACGGTAAAATTTTCAGGCTTTGAAGTCGGACGTCGCTCCTCTGTAATCTTCAAAGAACAAGTCTCAGCCTAGTGATTGGTCATGATCTTTTACCTGACACCAATCAAATAGCTAGCCGCAGGCCTTCATTTTTGCTATGACATATTCCAGGCGGTGTGTTCTCCTTTCCCCAACTTTTTAAAAAACAACATAGAGGCAGTAATGTTGTGATAGCAGTTATAGTCTGTTTCATATATATTTTACCTAGTTTTTACCTGTGTTCTCCTACATTATCTGTATCCTGTATACAGTACTGTCATATACATGTAGCTTTGATATAGTCTATTTTCATCATTTTTAGACATTTTTTTCATATCATATACCATTTTCATCAGCTAGATCCTACAAAACAGTAACGTGAAATCCACAAATATTTTATGTATTATATATACTTAATAGTATATATATATAGATGATAATGCTTTGATTATTTTTTTTATTTTTTTAATTTAAATTTAAATTGATTTAATTTAGGGTGAAGCAAATTCACATTGGAGCATTATTTTCAGAGAATCTTTTTACCAATAAATGCGTCTTCAGTGTAATTATTAATAACTTAGTATCACTCATTAGATTATTTCCCCCTAGAACATAATCATTAGTTATATTTCTATTTGATAACCCCATATGTCTTGGGTCCACCGATATTTCTAGTTGATAATAATGAATCTTAACACCTGACACCGACACTCTCTTCTGTGATGGAACGTTTTACATGTGCCCGACTCAGTTTCAGCAGATCTACACCGTCCACGCCAGGATTGGAGACCAGATGTACCCACTTGTATACAGTCTACTTCCCAGCAAGAGCCAGGCAACATACCAAAGATTCTTTACACTACTCAAGACCAAGATTCAACCTCCAACTCTGTCTTTACTGATTATATTTGTCATAAATTGCTTGCTAAATTTAATTCTATTTTATGAAATATATATATAACATACATGTAAATGTATAGTAAAAATGTATAAAATTGATTTAATATGAAATTGATAGAAGCAGGTTTTCAGTTAATGTATTTTGATGTGTTTTTATTAAGTAATAACTGGAATATTGTATATATGTATTCATAATTCCAGTAAATATTACGAAAAATCAGGAAATGTATTTGTTAAATATTCCTATAAATAACAAAGTATTTCCTATTGGTGAACAGGTAAATACAGGTAAATAATCTACCTGTAATATACCAGAACAGAATATAATGACACCTCTATTGTTGTCCAGTGTTTATATAATTCCTTTGATCAGAAAAAAGTGGGAGAAAGGAGAACAAACCTTCCAGGCGTACAGAGAACGAAAGTGAGCGTAAACCCTGGATATCGAAGATGTTTATAATTCTACGTATCAAGTATAATTCAAAGGTTGTTGAAAACACGTTTGAATTATATCATATAACATATATGAATTTAAGAAGCACTCAAACCAAATTTCAATGCCTTTCAATTTTCCTTCTTGAGGATGCAGACTGCACTCAGTTGCGTTCGCATAATTGCATTGTCACCGTTTAAGACTACCTGCACATTTTGTTTGGTGACTCAAGATATTTACCTGCATCTCTCGGGGTCAAAGAGTGAATAGTAATTTCTGATTGTTTTCTAAAACCATCATCCCTGTGTGTAATCGTTATCTTTGATGTGTTTTTACTCGCACTGTAGTCTCTGATTCGCCATTCAATATTGCCGCAGCTTCCTTTCGCATCAAATTCGCAGGTCATTTTCAAGTTGCCATCTTCCTCCGGTGAAGCTTTTGACATGTTTCGTTGAGATTCAGTTGTGTTTATTATACAAATTTACATAAAAATGAATAACTAAATCGTAAGGATTTACTTGATTTTGTATTTTTAAATAACATCGACGCTCATTTCTGCTCCTTTCACCTTATAACGTGATAGTGTCTTCTTTGTCAAAGGTTAAGTTTAAACAAAAATGAAATTGGCCTGTATACCATTTACAATATCATGCTGTTAAATTGTTAAATTATATTTCAGAATTAATAATGAGCATTTCATAAACATTTCAATATCATCATCATGCTTTACATGACATTATTGTATGCATATAGGTTGTCCTCGATTTCAAACAAGGTTTAATTTATGTTATTTCTGTTTTAATTGTGACATCATATGAGCATACATTTCGATGTTGCATATATATCCCATTCAGATTTTTGTATTCGTTGTCAAAAGCAGCATTGCTTATATGTTATGAAACAAAAAACAGCTTAAAGAAGCGACTGTCCTGGTTCTAAACTAAACCACATTTTTCTGAATAACAAACACAAGATAAAGTAAGGGGCATTTAAATAAACCAGTTTATATAAAAACTGCATGTTCCCAACGTAGGCGCAAAATTGTATTCCAGACGTACCTTGTGTGGTCTTTTCTGTGATATGTGGTGTCGTGTGATCCGTTGTTGTCTCAGATGAAAAGTCTGTTGTAGATAACACATCTGTTGTGTGATCTGATGTATATTCTGATGATTGCTCTATATAATCTGTTGTTGTCTCTGCATGATATGTTGTTGTTGTTGTATTATCAGTTGTTGGGTTTGTAAAATATGTTGGACTTGTATTTCTAAATCCTGTAGTATATTTGTATGTTGAAGATGTTGGATCTGAAGTGGGTGTTGGCGCTATGGATATGGATGTAGTTGTGGGTGGAGTGGGTATAGGTGAATAAGGTGGGAGCGAAGTGGGTATAGGCGAATAAGGTGGGAGCGAAGAAGGTATAGGTGAAGAGTGTGGAAGTGAAGTAGGTTTAGGTGAAGAGGTTAGAAGTGAAGTGGATATAAGTGAAAAGGGTGTGAGTGTTGATGTACTTGCAGTTGCGACAACTGATATATTTGAATGCATGATAATAAATGCCACCAACAGCATCTGACGCATGACTGCTGGTAAGTTCCGGTGATCAGATAACGATGACCTAATGCCAATATAATATTATTTAATACATTATATCAAACCTTTACTTTCTAAACAAACAATGTACGTTTTAAACGAGTCACAACGTTTCCAGACCGAGTGAGCGATTTGTATTTTTTTCTATTTTTGTTTATGTGTATTAAAAAATATGTAATTTCGTCACATCATCGTACAGGTAAAAATACAAATCGATCCCTCAGTCATAGCTTGACAAAGGGATCAGTCGGTCTTGACACGTTGTGACACGTTTAGTACGTACACTGTTTGTGTAGAAAATCAAACTATAATATGACATATTTCCAAAATGACGAATCTTGTTGAAGATATCACAATGTCAGTATGTTATTTCTGTCCTTTAATTTCATGGAAATTAACCGTTTTTTGCTGAATGGTCAAAATAACACTTTTGTTGTGAATTTTGTTGAGCTCTACCAATACAACTGGGATTACCATTGCTTTGCTTGATGTGTATCCGTTTCTCTATTCGTCTCTCTATTCGTCTCTCTATCCGTCTGTTAGTATAATTAGTGTCTGGATCGTTTACATTTGATTAAACGAAGAGTTTTTTTGCTCAAACTTTTGAATCTATACTAGACGCTAAACCATGTGTTCACTTTCATCATCAAAATATAAAATGTTGACTAAAAGTTCGATTATCATGTGTCAATCGTTTAAAGATCAGTGTCACGTGCCATGTTCATACGTCACAGGTCAAGGTGACGGGGAGGGGTCATATGGCAAGTAATTAATGTGCTTATTATGTCAATAATTTCATAAATGCCTATTTTATCACATTTCACTGATACATGCATTGACACTACAAGAGGCCCAATGGACTATTTCTGATCAATAATGTGTAAAACTTGAAAAAAAAAAGTTAGCAACGCCTCTTGGTTATCGAGAAGCTGGTTAAGACAAGTTATTTGAGCCGTCTTGTTAGCCCTTCATCCCAGCATGTAACTGACCAATATAATCATCATTGTTTTTTATTTATTTTATCCTTGTAACCTTGAAAGTAGATCAAGTTAATTATACCATAGTTTATTGGGCTTCAATAAAGGAGCGTATTAGCCAAATATTATGACCCTAGACATATTTGTGTTTCAGAAGAAGTGCTAAAAGATTCAGACAAGGTAAGCTAAAACCTTAATACATGTCATTACCAGGTCATCGTCCTGAAGGTCAAAAAAGAAGTACAAATGTCAAAGATACTTTAAAAAATAATTATCAGCGAGTTATTCTTTAAAAAACACACACTATGCTTATTTTCTCATTTCGCAAACATTATATGTATCTTGTAACTTTGATTTATTATTTAAACCTGTTTTAACTACACTCGTTGCCAAAGAAAAAGCTACATATCCAGTAAGTTCAATTAGAGAGAGGAAGGCACAGCTATCAAACCATTTGGTTAAACATGATAATTATAATGACTACAAATAAGTAACTATATATATGATATTTTGTTACAACACATACCGTTTCAATTGAAATCTTCTTTTCAAAGCTGCTTCTTAACTGGCGCTAGTTTTAAGGTGAGCTCCCGGCTAGTTCAACGAGGACGTTCTTTTTACCTTATCGGTGTCAAAGGTGAATCCATTCTCTTTAAATCGGAGCAAAATCAATAATAAAACAATTTGTTGTTCAGACGTTGAGGGAAGCAATGTGAATATTAGATTAGAAATAACCTCACAAGATAACCTTATCGTCGTGGAATTCAAAATACTTGTATCGGTAGAGTACAAATCCAATATTGATTTGATGTTCAAAAATGCATCCTTTTACCTGTGAAGATTAACCATTTTTGTTACTGTAGATTGTATCATTATTATGTAATGTAGATATTTTTCACTTAAAAATGTGTATAAATACGTATTTTTTAATGAAACATGAAGAAATCAATACATTTCGTAAACAGACATATATTTTATCTCTGTATTACTCACCACATTGCAAGGTTGGCAAGGAACAAGTGTACTTGGACTTGGAGCATTGTCGGCATATGTCAAGATATTTAAACAATTTTAATCAATTTTATTTGAAATCGTCACAGTCCGTTATCAGAGAAATGTATTTCAATATTGCAAAGATAGTCTAAGCGGCCAATTAACACAACAAGGCAATTATGTGCACGTTGTGCTTTTAATAGTCCATCAAAACAGTAAGGTAACCAGTACTCCTCTGAATAAGTTCAGAAGTTAAAGGGTTTTTAACGCCCGTCCTCTTCTGTTTCAACAATAGTTTTGACCAAATTGCATTTCTAGCATTTTGGTCCCTAGCATCACCAATTAGTCCTAAAAGGACAAAACATGCAGTGTAATTCATGTGTATATTCATAAGTGTCTGAAACAAACCAATGTCAACACCCTCGAGAATTTCTTTTCAAGATTAACAAACTTCACTTTGAATATTGAACTATGTATCATAAATATGTATTGATATATAAATCACAAAATAACTTCCGACTATAGTATAACTACTAACCTATCTGTACCAGTTTCATCCCGCTTTTCCTCCCGGTTTAAATTGCAACCTGTACGATTTTAACCTGTCCTTTTACTTCTAATTGGCTGATCGTAACTCGTTGGAAGGTCTTATGCTTCAAAGACCTAGTTCTGAACTAATTAAAACATGTTCAACTACCCTTGAGTTGGAATTTGGATGTTTTACCCGGGCGTATAAAAAAATGTTTATCTAAAGTGTATTATATATAAGCGCTTAAAAGAACCTTCAACGATTAAATATCTCAGTACTACTGGTGTTTACAATGTTTATAATTATTACAATTACTATACGTGTATGTAAACTGACAATTACTACACGTGTATGTAAACTGACAATTACTACACTTGTATGTAAACTGACAATTACTACATATGTATGTTAACTGACAATTACTACATGTGTATGTAAACTGACAATTACTATACGTGTATATAAACTGATAATTACTATATGTGTATGTAAACTGACAATTACTACACGTGTATGTAAACTGACAATTACTATACATGTATGTAAACTTACAATTAATTTACGTGTAAGCATAGACATTTTCTATCATTTTATAAAATAGTTGGCGTTCTTTACTCGACACAAAGCGTTAATGAAATATAATTATAAAAAACGGGTCATGTGATAATGCATAAGGTAGCAGTATACAGTAGAAATGGCCCGACTCTGATAAACAAGACACATGTCGAGGGAACGTAAACACAGCGGATTTACCGTACACAACACATGTATACATGTATATATATTTGTAGACTGCATTACATTTACAATACATATAAAGTACTGAGAAGTGTATAAACCTCTTTTTTCTATGTATGTCACTTGTGTGAAAACCATGGTTACCACATCATAATACCAAAAAATGCCAAAAATTGCTATTTTTAACCCAAAATTTGACCCCCGCAACTAGTA